CGCCTCCATCCCTTCATTTAGGATAAGACAAAAACGAATCATTAATTTACAAAACTTTAAACTCATAACATTGAGTCTCACAATTTTCAGCATCAAGTAAAATGTATTAGCATATTTGTGTGTGTGTGTGTGTGTGTGTGTGTGTGTGTGTGTGTGTGTGTGTCTGTGATTTCTCTAACAGTCATTCTGTACCTCTGTCTGTACTTGTTGTTGGACGGCTGCCTCACCATCAACATTTGACACTTCACAATCAGGATGTTAGTGTTCACATGTTTGTGCTCTCGTACAACTTATGAGTTCCAATTTGTCCAAATTTAAATGAACTGAAGACACTTTCACAAATGGAGGATAAACTCTGAAGAAGAGTCTATGTTCGATGTTAAATCAGAATGTGGATAAAGTTTGGTTCTGCAATATTGCAGAGGGTCCTCTCAAGTGTATATGTTACCAGATCAGCATTAGCGTAGCAAGCCGAGGAAGTTTATCTGCAGGGTTCTGATCTACTTTCTCTTAATCTTCCACACAGACACACTTGGTTTGCGGCTGTGGTTTGTGTATGTGTGTTTGTGTTTGTGTGTGTGTACCAGCTCACTCTCTCTTCCTGTTTGGCACTGTCAGCTGGCCAATCAGAAGCAGCATTGCGCAACTGTAAAGTCAGACTTTAAAGTAGAAGCTGATGACAAGAGCAGAAAAGTTAAAAAAAAAAAAAAAACAGCTGTGACCTGCCGCTGTGTCCCGGAGCACTGTGCTGGTGTTTGGTGCTCGATAAGATAAACGACAGCTCAACGATGAGATCAGAGGATTTTAAAACCTGCCACTGGTTTGTGACTTACAGTAGATGATTTGTATGATAAGATCATATCATTCAAACCACATGACAATGAGGTGTACTGCTGCAGGACCCTTGAATGAAACAGGCTGTGTTTTAAAAAAAGAGCGCATCATTTAATGAACATTGTGCATAATGTCGCAACTCCCAATTGTATTAAATATTGCTCATAAAATTGTAGACAAGAAAAGACAAGGTGTGCACTGCAGACATGCCCTAAAAAAATAACCTGTTTCCACCAAGTGGTCCAGTTCAGTTCAGTTAAGTACGGTACACATTTATTAGCATTTCCACTGTCAAAAGTTAGGAGAGGGTACAAAAATAACTGATCCGTACCCTTGGTACCCTTCTGTTGGGATGCCAAGCATACTGATATGACCCTGAAGGTTGGAGCTAGACACACTGCAGTAATTGGTCAAAAGAATCTTCACTTCCTGTGGGACAGCGGTAATAAAAGACAAACACAAAATGCTCCATGTTTAAATATCCTGCGGATTTGGAGAGAGTAATTTCAAGGCTGTTTTTTAACAGGAATCTTCCTAGGAATCATTGATCTTTGTTGACTGTGTCACGTTCTTCTTTTTTGTTGAATTTATTGGCTGTTTACACTGTGTAAGGGTGTAAGGGTACAGTTGGCTGTGTAAACGCAATTAAGATCAGGGTTTACTGTACCAAACTGTACTGAACCAAACCTGACCGGCTTGATGGAAACAGGGCTTGAGATTCACCTCACCAATATTTAAATACCACATTCTGTTCTTTCCAAGACTTTATATATTTGTAGATTCTTGAGTTTGCTGTTTTCCGTTTATTAGAACAGGACCACATGGAGACGCTCAGGACCGGCCTTTTAACCTTCTCCCAGTATTATATGGTAGATTTATTTTTGGGCCCTTGAAAAACATTTTTTTAAATAGGTTTTGCTGAAGTTAAGGTGTAAATTATTAATTTGAGCTATTAAGGGTGAATCTGGTTTAGATAAATATGAGTCATATTACGATCTACTATTAAATGTGTATGTTTAGACTTACATGTATATCCCTCTAAGTCTACATACACATTGGAGAAACATGGTTGTAGGGGAACAACAGCTCAATTTTGCCCTTGGGCCTTTAAACTGGTAATTCTAGACCTAGTCCTGGACCTGGATTCAAACCTGAAGTTGCTTAAACAAAGTATAATTTTGCACTTAAAATCAGCATAGAAACTCAAGTGGATCCCTCTGAAGCGTTCACTCACAACAGCTCAACATTAATGATGATTCAAATGTACAAAATCGTAGATAAACACCCGGTCATAGTTCAGGTAAAGCTCCTGTGAGACACTTTCTGTTTAAGGTTGATTTTGGCGCCCCCTGTGGACAAAGCAGTACCTCTAGTCTCTTTCCTAAATTTTGTGTAATGTAAGTAATATTTTTAACAGAAAATCTCATCTTGCTGTCATTAGCAGTCAAATATATGAATTATCATGAATCTTTGCTTAGTAAAATTTAATTCTCTTGTCAGTGGATTTATAATTATTTTTTCTGACACCGTGTCACTTTTCAGATTGTCACCCAGGATTCAGGGATTAAAGGTTAGGCCTACATATTATGCAAAATACTCTTCACCGTGTTTTTCTAACACTAATCAACAAACCCCTTGTGACCTTTAACAATAGGCTAACTTCAGCAAAAAGTATTAATCTTGTCCCTGATTACCTCACATGCTTTTGTAGTTTGTAAAGATACATCAGTTTTAACATAACTTTGCTGCTTCAGGAAAAGGATAACAAGATAGCTAAAGCATGTTGAAGCTAACTGGGAGGATCACCACAGCTGCAGCCCAGTAAGCACAATATATGTATTTCCAACAAATGTGTAACAAAAATATTGCAATATTTTCACTCAGTTTATAGACATCCAAACATAATATTCAACAAAAACAGCCATAATGGATAAATATCTAACTCAACTAGACATGCTAAAGGCTACCTAGCCTAGCTTTGCAGGGTAGCAGTAAGCTGACTGACCTCTCAGCCTCTCAGTGGACTGAAATCATTTATTAAAAGCTATTAGTCATATTATTACATTTTTATGGGTTTTTCAAATCATTTTATTTGACTTTTTTTTCTTGTATTAGTTTAAAAGAGCAAGAAAGTTGAGGACAAGAACAATTTCTTCTGTTTTCCTTTACGTGTCCTCACAAAGGAAAGTAGTGATCTTTACTTGGTGACTAAGCCGTTATATTTAGCTCTTTAATTTACCATCCGGCCTGAAAACCGTTTCATTTTTGGGTGATTTTGTATTTATTGGGTATTTCTTATGGAGATGTTTGCACATCTAACTATCTCCTGAAATAGGCTCCCAAAATAAGACATCAAACTGTCACATTGAAAAGAAAAAGAAAATCCTTCCTCGTGCTAAACATCATTGTCTTTTATTGGATAGAACAGCTGAAGACAGACAGGAAACGTTGGAAGGAGAGTGGGGGTGACGACATGCAGCAAAAGGCCGAGGCCGGATTGGACCGAGGCCTGCAGCCTCTGCACATGGGGCGCACGACAAAACCAATAAAGGCTGTCTATTTTTCAGTTTTCACTTTCTGTAGTTTCTGGTCTTTACTTTTAATGTCAAAAAAGATCATACCAGAATAAATAATCATCCATAAACTGTCCCTTTCTCAAACTTTGACCCGTTACTATTGACCCGTTACTATTTTTGGGTTTATGACACACAAACACAAAGAGGCTTATACCTCCCTGTCTGTCTGTCCTCGGTGGGTGTGACCAGCCCACTCCACTTTATGTAATCCACTTCAACAGCTCTGCAGGAGCACAGTGTATCCCCCCTCCCACTGGCTTTAGTGTCTGCCTGCCTGAAATGTAATGCTGCTCACTGTATATGAAGCGGCTGTGATACATAAAGAATGCTCTGTGATGTAATAACTGTAACCACTGACTTGACTATACACGCTAAAGGTTCATAAGACGTGATGAATCAGAAGAGAGATTTAAAGTTATTAAAGTGGATAACATTGCCAGCTTAGTTTGTATTTGTCAGCGGGCAGAGATTGTTTCAGCATCCAATGAAGAGCAATAATCAAAATGTTGCTTCATAACAATTTAAAATCTGATTTTTACATCTAAATCCTTTCAGGAAATTGAGGCCAAGATATAGAGTTCTAAATTAATCTGAAAAACGATTTAATTGAAGATTGAGTTAATGCATTTATGTGTGTAAATAAATACACATCATCTGTGATGAGTTGCTCCCTTTCGTCTTGTGTCTTTTTTATTTTATTTATTTGACATATTTCACTGTTCCCATTTTGTTTCTATCCTAGTAGTAGGTTCACTGACTTCTCAATACAACAGGCCTGGTTCGAGAACAAAGTGACTCGAGGTGAATCTCAGATTAAAGGGGGTGCAGCTACAGCAATGAAAAACAGCGTAGGTGTTATGTACGGTGGCCCTGAAGTGCAAAACACAACAAGAAATAAGAAAACACAACAACATTAACTTCTAACAGAAAAGGCACATACCTGCAGTCGACAAAAATCATCCATGATCCATAGACTGATTTTGTGTTTTTGCCCGTTTGTTGTTGTGTTTTTTATTTCTTGTGTTTTCTGATTTGTCGTTAAAACATGATTATTTATATTTAAATCATTGTTGATATTATGGAACTTATTCGCTGTACTGAAAATTTGGAGCAACATGGCAATCGATCATCTTGAATATTCAACATGTACCTTTCCTTATATCTTAGTTTAGGATTCATTTGTATAAATACTTAGAAATGCAATAAAAGAGTCATTTAATCTACATATCACTCCAGAAGACATCTGCAGTCCTTGTTAAATTCGAGCTTTGGGCTAGCAGGGACAACAGGAAGCTTCTTGTTGTGTGTTTCTTTATGAATAGCAGATACTATAAATAATATCAAAATGTATTATTAGAAATAATTAATAGCTTATTTCTGCCACCTTTATTGTTTTTCTAAACTATTCCCCCTTTCCGTTGCTCCTACTCTCTCAACATGTCTATGCTTCCTGTTGTTCTGCTGCATGTGAGCAACACTCACATTTATTCTTTCAGGTGTAACGTGTGTATCTTTCTCTGTGACTCAGTGACACTCTGACCCTCATAACTCACTCACACTTATTTATATCCACAAAGAATCACTCACCCATTTTACAACAAACAGATATTTATTTGTGTGTTTTTAATGTTTTTTATTCTGTACAGTTAAGGGCTTTTTCTTGATAAGGACATTTGGCATCGCCCAATCATCTGCGGCCTAATACAGGCAGCTTGATGCTGATTGGCTGTCCGGGCTCACTCCCACCACCCAGCCAATCTCCCTTTGTGTGCAACACCAACAACAACAGAAAAGCAGCACTTTACAGCACCCATACGCACTGTACATGACCAAACATGATGTAAAAAAAACCCCAACATTTTATTTAATCTCACATTCAGTTTTTATCTTAAACCTTAAAAGATACAAACAGGGTGAGATTATTTCTCCTTTTCTCTGTGCAGTTCCCCTTGTTTTCCTGACATCAGTGTCAGTATCATCAGTAATGACAACGTGACAAAAGATCACAGTGTTGATCAAATCTAACTCGTTTTTTTTAAAAAAATGTTTAAAAAATATATTTTGAGCAGGGAACTTGTGTGAAACCATCTCACCTTGCTGGCACATTCTTAAGACTTTAAGGCTACATGAAAAGATAGAGATTTAGTGTCTGTGAACATGAAGCAGGACAAACCTGACCCCGTTCAGTCTGAGGTTTGATGTTAACACTGCTGAGGACAAAATGGCTCCCTGAAAGTTTCCCTTCAGTTCGTCAGGATGTCACAGAACTCAACAAAGTCCCTCTGCATGAAGTTCTGACTCTGCATCAGGTCGTCCTCAGAGGGGAAATACGGCATGCTGTCCTCCTGCAGACGCAGACTGTCCTCCTGCAGACGCAGACTGTCCTCGTGCAGTACCACGATCTGTCCTGGTGGCGTCGCTGAGTGGTGTGGGTTGGGACTGTCTAAAAGGGCTCCTCTGGCATTCTCCAGGACGCCCAGGTACGAGTCCATGTCGGTGAGCTCCACGTCGCTGTCGGAGCTGCTGCCGCTGTCGCTCCCCACCGAGTCGGAGCGCATGTGCAGCATCTGATACTTCTCGTGCATCAGAAACTGGTTGGTATTCTTTGGGGCCCGCATCCCCTTCGCTCTGTTACCTTTCACGTAGACGGGCCGGAGGGACGTCACCGGCCTGTGGAGGTGTCGGGGCTGATTGAAAAAGGGATGATGACGTTGAGGGTTGTGGTGGAGATGATTGCGCCCTCTCGGCCAACCTCCCCCTCCTGTCCGCCTCCCCTGCTGGCGCCCCCTACAGCTCTTGGACCAGCCGTGCCTCCTCCGGCTGGAGGGGTCCTTCTGCGGAGCCCCTTTTCCATCCTCCTCCTCCTGCTGCTGCTGGCAGCTCTTCCTGCTCATCATCAATGAGAGCATTTTCTGGTCTTTCTTGCAGTTGCCTCCCTTCCTCCCTGCTGCACTCCTTCACATCCTCTTCCTCGCTCAGTGGCAACAAACAAAGAGAGGCTGGTTTCTGTTTTTCTGGCTCAGATCACAAATGACCCTCCTCTCACTTAGAGTCTACCTTTTCACTATTCTTTCACTTTTTTTCTTGACCTCTGGCTTTGGCTGGTGCATTGCCTGCTCTTCCTCCCCTTGCAGCAGCAGTTTGCCTGCTCGGCTGGCTCTCTTGTCACGCCCTCCTCTGTCTGTCTCAACTCTCTTCTTGAGCTTCTCTGAAAGTCAAATTAGCTCTTCTTCACAGCTCTGATTAGTGATCTAAGATGAGCTGTGGAGGGGATATACGCGTCTTCTTGCTGATTTAAAGCTGATAATTCTCAGATTCAGGCCTGGAACTGTAGTGTACTCAGCTGAGGCCAGCACTGACTGTGGCTCTGCCTCCTCCTCGCCGCTTGCATAAAGAGCTGGACTGATCCATTCAAGGGTTTAACAGGAGGAGGGGACCAGGGCTTGCAGATTTGTCCTCTGCCCTTTATTTCCATTTTTACATGACACATTTCAATAAGACATCACTTCTGCACATGGGAATAATTAAAATAACACAATTGTCTGCCTTTGGATGCCTTGTTTTGTTTGTTTGGGGTATGAAGAAAGCACCCTGCAGCAGGATGGTTTGTCCCGCTTCAGTTTTAGCAGCTGAAATCTGATCTACAGTGGCCACACAAACACACACACACACACACACACAGTGGCAGGAGGACAGTGGTAGTTATTGTAATAACAGTAACAGCAGTCAGTTATTGTGTCATCTGTGTGAACGGGTACCCAGCCCACATCGACTTAAACGACACCACAAATATTTCAGTCGAGAAATAAATGTCTTCAATCAACTGTTTCATCACGATAAACATTGCAAATTAAAAACATCTTAAAAAAAAAAACGAGATCCCCACTTCTAAAACGCCACTTAAGTTTTTAGCCTTGACACCAACATGGCTGCAGGGATGACAGCGTTAGTCCCTGCACCCCTTTAGTACAGGCTAATAAACAATCTGAACACATTTTGAACATATTAACTTGAAATCTCATGATTTCTTTGGACATTTGTGGTCCTCAAACAATGCATCCCACAGAGACTGTGAATCAGGTTATTCTCTGATTTTCGTGTAGCGCCTCCATGGGGTTGACATTTGTAACTTCAGTGGAAAATGTAAACAACTTCTTGAAGGATTGCAATTTAATGTGGGTCAGACATTTTAGTTCCCCCCTCAAGCGCAGCTTTGAGATCGCTTGAGTTTGCATCTAGCACCATCTGCTGGTGAAAATCTAGGAAACTGTACCTGCAAATGTAAAGACGTCCTCATTATCTTCAACTGGGCTTTGTGTCCAAATATGATGAGATAATGTAGCATGCTTGAAGAGGGAAGGTAATGTGATGACTATGGAAAATGTCACGACTCTTTAAAATCAGCGTATGTGAGTATGCTATCTTTCCTATGTAAGAATAACTGAGCCACACTGCAGCTTCATATAGCTTCAATTGTTGCTTTTTGATGCTTTTTTTTTTTTTTTTTTTTTTTTACATCATCCATCCAGAGCAAATATTGAAAAAATGAAGCATGCAAAGTCATTAAATCAAGATTAATTGAACACATGCTCCCCCTGAAATGTCACCTTCATCTCACAATGAAGCGTATCCTCTTTCCTACTTCCTCCTGCAGCCACAATCAGCGCAACTACCCCCGTTATTATGATCCTGTACTTATTCAGGTCACTTTAATTGACCAAAACACAGACAATAGAATGACATAATGCACCTACTACAAGTGTGTGCCTGCACTAGTGCCCCCCTGTGGCCGTTCTGTGTATTACAAGAAGCTGTTTAAAGCAGACGGAGGGAGAGGGCACGGTGTTTACTGTTGACTGACCGGCTTTATTTAGATCATTACCACATGGTGCTTGTGTTGCACGAAATGTGACACTTGTTCTGACAGATGATGGACTCACAGGTGTGTGACATCTGAGCTCACAGATATAATGACGTACATTACCTCAGGCGAAGTGAAATAGACATTTGAGGTAGGCTACTTCTACTTTACTTGTCATGTTACCTTTTACTTTAACTCCTCGACATTTTTAAAGAGAATATTGTGAGAAGAACATGATGTCTTGTTCTAAGTTTAACTACTGAGAAATATCTAAAACTAGAGCTGAAAATATTACTTAAATGATCAATGACTAGATCTGAATTAAAAGTATTCTGACAGCTGTTTATCTGATTATATTTAATCTTACAAGACCATCAAATCTATTTTTTTATTCCTCTCTGGAAATAACCTTAAACCTTGAAGTTTTGGTTTTGTTGGTTGGACAAAAGCAACATTGTGAGGGTGTTTTTTTTTCTTCTTCAAGGTTCAGGGTTCATTTATTTATAATCCACAGAGACGGGGTTCAAAGAAAACCAAACAATAAATCTATTAATGCAAAAATCAATCAGCAGTTTAATCCAGCATGAAAATACTCATTAGTCTCACTGGTGCATAAAACAAAGGAGCTTTAACATAACCAACAAAAACAGGAAAGTCTTAATTTTAAATATTGAATAATGAAGAATTTGATCGAAAATTGAATAGAAAATCAGTTACAGGGGGATTTGTGTACTTCCACCTCTGATGTTTTGGGTATTTATTTTATCATAGGACATTAAAGGATCCCTGAATGATTTGTGGAACAAGCAGGGGGTGTAGGTGATGATCACATCAGGCAACAACGGGCCACTGCCAACTTCTCTGATGACACATTCAGCATGCTATGAACTGACTGTTTTGACTATTTCAATATCATCATAATCCGTCCTCAGTCTGGTTATTTCATTTTGCCCTCGTAAATTGGAGTTTATGACGCTTACAGCAGCTTGAATGCGCTTCTTTTCTAAGGTCCTCATTAGTTGAGCTTCCAAGAACATGATATACATCCAACATGACAAAAGACGAAACCAAAGCCATGCAGGGATTAACACGTAATGTATTATAAAATAAAAATAGCCCAGGAGTTTAATGTGACTAAGGCTTAGTCTTGACTCAGAAATATGTAGTGGTTACATGTCACGTCACCACACCTCAAACATGAGTGATTAAGTGTTATCTTTTTTGCTCCAATAAACTTTATTTCAGAGTAGAACAAATATTCAGTGTAATGATAGAAGTTGAAAATGTAAGCCCATAACAGTAGCTAAATGATAAACAGACACCCTAAATAAATAATGTAAAACAAAAGCAAAGAAGCCAGGGGACAACATAACAGGTACATTTCGATTGATTGAACTTTATTCTCAGAAAAAGTCCGGAATCTGTCTTGCATCACAGCTGCTCGATTCACAATATAAAAATGAAAGACAAAGCTATACAAATATTGACACAAGATTAAAGAGGACATATTAAACCCCCTTTTCCAGCTTTGCCCCCTGTGGTCTAAATGAAACATCCACCTTTTTGGGACTTCAGGGGCTCCGTAAATTACTGTATATATGTTTAAATTTTGCTATCTTTTCTGATTGTACTCCTTCTTTTGAGCTGTTGTAACAATCCAATTTTAATCAATAAAGTTAAATAAATAACATGTTCATTTGTGTGTGTCACCTTGATGTGTGTGTATGTGCATGTGTAGACATGAAGAAATCAATTCAAATTCCCCCCCCAAAAAAAAATTCAAGAAATAATATTATCTAAAATAAATATACAAATATCTTGCCATAATTTATAAGTATGAACACAAGTATATAGATTAACAAAAGTTTCAGCATAGTATTCACAGAAGGCAGTGTTTAAGTGTTATCCTCATTCGCTGACTATTTCCAGCAACGTCACAGCTGTTTGACGTTTCATAACTCTCGCGATAAATATTTGAAAGATGAGACTTTGTGTTCCTATTATCGGACAAAGGTTGCGATGCTCTTTCTTTCGCTTTTTGTTTTACCTTCGTCGTGCGATAAATTTGATTACATAATGTGACGGCGTATGCTATACTGGAATAATGTTGGATAATCTTTTGCTATATGCCCAGTCTCTCATGCGGTGGGATTATTTGTCAATGCCCTGCTGTGAATAAAGTTTGAAGGCTTCAAAGCGGGCGGCATCACAACAAACATGGCGTCAGGAGGCGCTTAGCCGAGAAGAAGCTCTAGAAATCCTCGAAAAAGCCTTTTAATTGTTTCTTTTTTACTTGATACCATCTCACATCGGCTCGCCTCGATCTCAGCATGGAGTCCTCTCCGTTTCCAGAGGAGGTTTTGGAGAGGAAAGTGTGTGTTGTCGGGTCGGAGCTGGTCGAGAACTACACAGTAAGTCCTTTAACCTAGCTACCAGCTAGCTTAGCTTTCTGCTACCCCGGATCCTGCTGTAGCAAAGTGTCAGAGAGTAAATGTGGAAGGAATTAAACACAGAAACTTATTTTTGTCATGCATTATGTGTGAATAGTGCTGAGTATGAACTATAAGGAGTCACAGCTGACAGCTAGCGGCCAGCTGTCTCTCACAGTTTCAGAGTTTTTGCTTCATTTCTGCACATTGCTTAATCCCTGTCAGGAAGAGGTTACTTCATGTGTGTGTGATGGAAGGTCGTGTGTTGTAATTTTCTGCAGGTCTACGAGCATGACTGATTTAACAAAAAAAAAAATAAAGAAAATACAGATTTCTCACATCTCAGTTTTTGTCTTTATTTAAATTTAAATTGAACCCATTTCTGTCTTGAATTACTATTTATTTATAACTTCAGACAGGTGTCACTGTAGTTGTAACTAATGCATGTGGTGCTGTTGTTTTCAGGTCTACATCATTGATGTGACGGATGGCGAGCACAAGTGGACGGTGAAACATCGATACAGTGACTTCCACGACCTCCATGAGAAGGTGAGTGTTCACAGGTTGCACGTTGATCGTCCGCTGACTCTGATTCATCTGCATCAGGTTAGACGTCCGGGCAATTATGGAGTGTGATTTGTGATGTACTTGTCTAAGGCCCCATTTAAAAACTGGAATCTGTCTACGAACAGAAAACAGGAGCGTAGGCGGGGAAAACATCTCATGGTTTACACTTCTCATGGTTTACACATCTCATGGTTTACACATCTCATGGTTTACACATCTCACGGTTTACACATCTCACGGTTTAGACATCTCACGGTTTACACTTCTCATGGTTTAGACATCTCATGGTTTACACATCTCACGGTTTACACTTCTCATGGTTTACACTTCTCATGGTTTAGACATCTCATGGTTTACACATCTCATGGTTTACACTTCTCATGGTTTACACTTCTCATGGTTTAGACATCTCATGGTTTACACATCTCACGGTTTACACTTCTCATGGTTTAGACATCTCATGGTTTAGACATCTCATGGTTTACACTTCTCATGGTTTACACATCTCATGGTTTACACTTCTCATGGTTTACACATCTCATGGTTTACACTTCTCATGGTTTACACATCTCATGGTTTAGACATCTCATGGTTTACACATCTCATGGTTTACACTTCTCATGGTTTACACATCTCACGGTTTACACATCTCACGGTTTACACTTCTCATGGTTTAGACATCTCATGGTTTACACTTCTCATGGTTTACACATCTCATGGTTTACACTTCTCATGGTTTACACATCTCATGGTTTACACTTCTCATGGTTTACACATCTCATGGTTTAGACATCTCATGGTTTACACATCTCATGGTTTACACATCTCATGGTTTACACATCTCACGGTTTACACTTCTCACGGTTTAGACATCTCACGGTTTACACATCTCATGGTTTACACATCTCATGGTTTACACTTCTCACGGTTTAGACATCTCACGGTTTAGACAAATCACGGTTTACACATCTCACGGTTTACACATCTCACGGTTTAGACATCTCATGGTTTAGACATCTCATGGTTTAGACATCTCATGGTTTACACTTCTCATGGAGAAAAAAAAGACCTGCAGCTGAAGACTAGTTTTAGCTTTGATTAATATTTTTTTATTTTCTCTATTTATTGATAAATTGCTTACACATTGTTAAAAACTTTCATCACCATTTTGCTGAGTCCAAGGTTTGTAGATTTCCTCAGATTTTTCTGTTTTCTCTGACCAGCAGTTCACTTTCCAAAGATATGGAGTTTAAAATGACCCCTGAACACAGAAAAGCATCTGTGACTCAAGAATATATATGTAATTCTTCATGAATAAATTAAGATTTATTTGTCATCCTCAGCTTACAGCAGAGAAGAAAGTGGACAGACGGCTGCTTCCTCCAAAGAAGATGATTGGCAAGAACTCAAAGAGCTTGGTGGAGCGGCGGCAGAAAGAGTTGGAGCTCTACCTGCAGACGCTGCTGCAGCAATTTCCACAAGCCACGCCCACTCCGCTCGCCTTCTTCCTGCACTTTCACCTTTATGTGAGTAAACCTTAGATTACTTCTATCTTAACACCTCTCCATTCATCCAGTAACCTGTTTAGATGTTGCATCCCTCTAGTACTTCACCTAAAATAACTTCAAATATGCTCAGATAATGCAGCCAGCGATTATGTGGATTTGTGAAAATAAAAGCTCTGGGCTAAATGTTTTCAAACCAGGGGCTTACAAACAGCTTTCAGGGAAGTTGTTTCTTTAGAGTTTGTAACCTGGCTGCAGGGATTCAGACACAAGAGCATCGGCTAGGTCTGACAGTGATGATGACGAATAAAGCCTGGTTCCTCATCCCATCGGTGTTGGATTTGGATGAGGTCTGTCAAGTTCCTCCAAAAACAAACTGTGATACATTTTTCTCTATAGAGCGTGCTCTGCACAAGAGGTCGATGTCAGATTGAAACAGGAAATGACCTTCACCCTATTGTTGATGAAGCAGTCTGGAGAATCTTCACTGACCTATAGTTGTTCCCTCATAAGGCTGGAGGACTTGAAATGCAACCTTTCTGTGGTTGCTGTTTCTCCAAAGTGAGGGTTAATGCTTTTGCTAGTTTTCAGAGTTTTTGACAGGACTTGATCAAGTTTGAAAATTAAAATAAATAGACAGTTTAACTCGACCTGTGTGGATTAATATCCAACCTGCCAAATGTCTCGTCCCTTTTGAAAAACGTCCATAGCTTTGTGTCCATAGCTTTGTGTCCATAGCTTTGTTTCATTTAGAGTTTTAGTTTCTCGCTCTTAAGATGGTGTTCATATAACAACAATAACAGTATATTGAAAGCAAAAAATATTTTGCTTTCACTACTGTTCTTTTTGGCGCTGAGTCAGGGTCGATATATAAAAAAAGATAATCTCACCTAAGAAGGAGAGATGCCTTTTGCCAAAACTAGTCACGGATTTCTATCTGTACTCACTGGCAGATTTGACAAAAACAACCAATGCTTTTATTTCAAGTACAAGTTCAGGCTTTGTGATGTCGCTGACTGTGATCTTATGACCGAGTCGCTGCTACAACAGACCAGTGTTGTCCTGGTTCATGGGACTCTCCAGAGCAGTTTAGCTGCTCATGTAACATGACTGTTACAGATGAGTTCAAATGACCACAGAAAACCACAGTTTTATTGTTTTAGCTGCATTAGAAGGTAAATACTGTAGGATTGGAAAGTGAAAGATGAAAGTAGTTGAATGAATGCATGGTGTTTATTGCCTGAGTGAGGTGTTGCTCTTTGCCCTGTGTTTATTATTGTTGTGTAACTAATCCCACATAAAGTGACTTGACCTTCTTATTTCTAAACCGATAACTTTTGTTTTTTCAGAACACAGTTGGAGCCTTAAAACATGATTAAAGACAAAATATAAAACTACCAATAAAGACTTCTAAATATGACCAGCTGTAGGATGATTAGTAAAAACAGAATAAACCATTTGTGTTTCAGGTAGTGGTTAGTGTGCTGTAGACCTCCCAGCGGGTGTCCCCGGTTCAAATCCAACCTGTGGCTCCTTTTCCGCATGTCAGTCCCTACTCTCTCTCCCTCCCCGGTGTCTGTCGCTATCCACTGTCCTATCTCTACTTAAAGGCAGAAAAAGCACAAAAAAGAAACCTTTAAAAAAGTCTTCAAATTATTTGAGTTTCTATCATGTATTTTTTTATTATTTTTTTTAAGTAATATTGTATTTAACCTGCTGTTTTTCTCTTTCAGGAGATAAATGGCATCACAGCAGCTCTAGCTGAGGAGCTATTCAACAAAGGTTAGCTTCCTTCTGGCTTTGACCTCTTTTTCTTTAGACACACTCCAAACTGTGTTAAAAATTAATAGAACTCCCTCAGTGGAGAAGGTGTTTCACCTCTTTCTGTCTTCAGTGGTGAACAAGAATGCTCCGACACTCTGGATCAATTTAATTTAATTCATCAGAGACAGTTCACATTAATAGACAAAATATGGATGTAAATAAAGCAAATGAAGTAAAACAGCTGCCTTTCACACAAAGTAAGTAAATTGTCATTGAAAACGAGGTAGCTTTGGGGGCAGCAGAAGCTTAGTGGTTAGTATGCACGCTCCACGTACGGGAGGCTATATTCCTTCAAACAGGCGGCCCAGGTTCGAATCTGGCCTGTGGCTCCTTTCTCGCCTGTCATGCCCCACTCTCTCTCGCTCCTAATTTCTGACTATCCACTGTCCGGTCTCAAAAAAAGCTAGGCATGAAAAGCCCAAAAATAATCACATTCTGATGGAACAATGACAAAAGACTTGTTTTCTTTTTCTTGTCTTTGGCTTAAACATGCTAAACAATTGAAGATCATTGAGAGCGTGTAACCTGTTGCATTTGAATCCTGCTGCTCTAAAAAGCTGCATAAATCCAGTTTCCTTGAAGAATTATAATGATTTCATCCCTCATTTGTTAGTAGCAGTTATTGTTTCTACACTGAAATAAAATGTGACTACTAAATTACCAACATCCTTGCTGCGTTGCATTGTTTTAAGGTATTTTGGATATTAGGTATTGGAAGTGAAAAATAGAGGTGAGCAGTAAAGCTCGGCTTAAAAAAAAAATGTGTCTATCGGGGCTCCAGTAGCCTTGTTGTTAGTGCACACGTCCCATGTACAGAGGTTATAGTCCTCCAAGCGTGCAGCCCCGGTCCGTATCCAACCCCGCATGTCATTCCTCACTCTCTCTCTGTCCTAGATTTCTGACATTATCCACTGTCCTATCTCTAAATAAAGACATAAAAGTCCAAAAAATAAACCTTTAAAAAAAAAAAAAAAAAAAAATGCAAGGATTTCGGATTAAATATTTTACAGTGGTTACCATCAAACCTCTCTGTGTTTTTCTTTGTTATAGGTGAGCAGCTGCTCCAAGCTGGTGAGGTGTTTTCCCTCCATCCTCTGCAGCTGTACTCCGTCACCCCAGCAGCTCCGCCTGGCCAAACCCACCTGCTTTAACGGAGACGCCAAAACAGACCTGGGACACATCCTGGACTTCACCTGCAGGCTGAGATACCTCAAGGTCTCACGCGTCTGAATCTATTCAAAATCTTCAACGCACATTTATTTCAGTGTTGTGTCCTGAGCTCACTCATGGAGTTGAGTTGGTTAATGTTTCTCGCTGTTTTTTTGTTCTGTGTTGGTCAGGTGTCTGGTACCAGAGGTCCAGTGGGAACCAGTAACATCGAGGAGAGCAGTCTCCCGTTTGACCTGTCTGTTTTTAAATCGCTGCTGCAGATAGAGGTAACCGTCTCTCCTGGATGTACTCCTGTCTCTACACAGGTTAACTTCCTGTTTCATTCATATCACACACCGACCTGATTGAGAACGAGATAATGAGTACCAAGTAAACCCACAATTGACCTGTTTATACACTCATAGCGGTTTATACAGGGTGTTGGAGCCCTATATACAAACCACAGGTCGAGTTAAACTGTCTATATAACAAAAAAGGTGAAATTTAAATGTTGTAATTAAGTCTTTTATCAGTCACTAACTTCTAATGATGTTTGTTTTGCACCACAGGAGGGTTTTTACTAAGGATGCATTGTTTTAAGTGTTAGAATAAAGGTCATGAATAATAACTTGTCCCTCTCTCTGCCTTTAGATCAGTGAGTGCAGCTCTCAGCAGATTCAAGGTCTGTCGTGTCTGAGGTCGAGTCTGGCAACTTTGAGTATACACCACTCCACGGAAACTATGACGGTACAGTTTAGATGAAGTTCTTCACTGCACGATGTTTCTATGTGCTGTGTTTGTTTTAAATCTTCTTGTTCTGACATGAGTACTGTCTTATTTCTGCCTTAGTCGATCCTGGTTCCTGAGGCGAGCGAGTTCTCCCAGTGGGAGGCAGAGGGGGCGGAGTCTGGCTGTCCTGTCACAGCTGTGATCCCTGTGTGGAGAAACCTGACCACGCTGGACATGAGTCACAACGGCATCAGCTCCATCGACAGCTCAGTGGTGAGGCACGCTAAATCAAACCTCAACACAGTCAGTCACGTGGCAGTAGTTGGCGTTTGCCTTATTTCTCTCTATAATCGTTTCACGCATTTTTATTATTTTATTCATTGACACATTTCTTATCTTTTCATGTTACCTGTAACAAAAATGTAAGAATTGGAAATCCATGCAACTGTTGTGTAAATATTAGCCTAGACTTGTGAAAGCTGTTTCAAAATGTTTCAAAAGTCTTCCTGACATAATGTCTCAGGAGTTTTCACATTTTATAAAACTTAGAGGAGCAATATGTAATTGTGACACCTAGTGTTTCAAATTGGTACTGCAGTCCAAATTAAACATTTTGAATTTGAATCACACACATGCACAAGCAGGACGTGTGGAGAGATGTCAGATTGAGGCTGTGACGCAGGGAGCGCACCAGAGTGGTTGCGGGTTTGTTGCCTTGCTCAAGGGCAGCTCAGCAATGCTCGGGAAGCTTCCACACCAACTTCCATATTATGGTCAGCATCGGTACTTGAACCGCCGATCCTCCGGTTCCCAACCCAACCCAAGTCCCTACGGACTGAGCTACTGCTGCCCCAAATTCAAAACATTGGAGAGAGCTGTATCTCCCCAGTTCCTCCTCCATAGAGTTGATATGTTATGTCGCGAAAGCTTCAGTGTTAAACCAGCTCTGCATCGTTCTGTGCTAGTCCTTCTGCCCAACAATCATCAGTTTCTTTGTGCTGACTCTTATTTTGTCTCTTTGAAGAAACTCATTCCTAAGGTGGAGTTTCTGGATCTGAGTAACAACCAGCTGTCCACAGTGGAAAACCTGCAGGTATGTGAGAGAGTGAAGAAGAATATATCAGCTCTGTCGGGACTGACTCGAAGTTTGAATTAAACTCATGTGGCAGATGTTTCTTTAGAAGGATTGCTGAAGTAACTTTCCTGTTCTCACAGCACCTGTACAATCTGGTCCACGTGGATCTATCATATAACAGCCTGAAGGTCCTTGAAGCCGCTCACACCCGTCTTGGAAACATCAAAACTCTCAACCTGGCCGGCAACCAGCTGGACCAGCTGACCGGCCTCACCAAGCTCTACTCTCTGGTCAACCTGGACCTCAGTCACAACCAGCTGGCTCAGGTATTCACACAGAGAACGCCATGATGTTATCGCTTTCAAGTTATGTAGATGCTTACTGTAAAGCATTTATTTCATTCTAGATAGTAAGATTGCAAAAAATATATTTTTCATGCTTGTATTTTTTACGAGGTAAGACATGAAAGCAAGAAGAATGTATTTAACTGGATGCATGACTCAGAAAAGCAACTTAAGACTGTGGGGACAAATACAGCCAAAGCTCTTGTTTTTTAAGGGAGTCCGTCGGTTTATCTTGTGTGTCTGATATTTGTGTTTGATTCCAGTTGGAGGAGATCAGGAACATCGGCTCTCTGCCCTGTCTGGAGAAACTCAACCTGTCCAGTAACCCCATGTGCATCATCCCAGACTACAGAACCAAAGTCCTGGCCCAGTTTGGTGACCGTGCAGCAGAGGTACCCCAACATAAGAAGAAACAAACTGTTAATTTTAAGATGGATGGGTGTGCTATATTGATCCCAAACTGGTGAATTGTGGTGTTACAGCAGCAGGTTATCAAAGCAAATGATTGGGCAGACATACTGTAAACAGATGTAATAATGAGCAGATACACTAATCAAGTGAACTTTAATGTGCAAATTTAAAGCTGTGTTGCTGCTCAGACTACTGCTACAGTGAATGTACGGCTTCAACTTCTAAAAACAATATATTGCTCAATTATCGCCTCTGCAATGTGTGCATGAGCAAAAGCCACAGCGCAGGATGTGGGATAATAATCATAAAACCTTCAACAATCATGCTACATCTTTTGGTCAAGCTGAGTGCAAAACTAAAACTTGCACAGTTTCTCGTCTTCTATGATAAATCTACAGGAAATGACTGTCATATCGGTCAATCATATGATTTCAGACCCTCACTGGATCACAGAGTGAGTGGGTATCATGGGGCTGGACACCTAAATTAACACACATAAGAAACGGTAGATGGCGTTTGTAACACGCTGTTATTTGTAAAGTTATAAATAGAGCCTTGTTCTCCGCCGTGTCAGAGCTGCTGTCAGAGGGCTGAACCAAGTGTCAAGTTTATTTATAAACTTCAGCAACAGGGCGATTCAAAGTGCTTCACACACGACATCAAAAGCAACAAGACAAAGAGAAAATTAAAAACCACCAAAACAAACTATTAACAGTCAAAGAGAAGATTAAAAATGAAAATATGTTTTAAAAAAATAGATCCAAAAGAAACACAGAAATATCAGATTTTGTGAAAATAAGACATTGAAATACAAAACACAAATATAGCCTCAAATTTAGAAAATAGTGACCACTGCTATCACTGTCATTACTCAATAGGGCTTTTCACACTTGCAGAAAACTTTCCAGGAGGAGCTGTATGTGTGAGCGCTAACAGCCAGATTTTTCACTCAGACTTCACACGGCGTTTCTCCTGCCAGACCCCTAGTATTCTTTTCTGCAGCTAGTGTTAGTGAACTGATGTGAGCAGTCCTCCTGAAGTTATCTAGATATTTTCAGGAGTGCAGATGTGAAAACGGCTGTAGAATCACTGCTGCTGTTACCATAGAAACGGCTCTTCCATTCATCTAAATGCATAACAATTGCGATCACTAGTCAACTGTCAGTTTTGCTGTTGTCTTATGTCTCTACTCTTAACTTGTTGCTGCTGATGCTCCTGCTTGTTTAAAAAAACTGTTCGTGTGTTGGTGAATATTTGAACCGCTTGTCTCCGCGTCGTCAGGTTTGTCTGGACGGGAAAGTGACGACGGAGAAGGAGTTGGACACAGTGGAAGTGTTAAAAGCCATTCAGAAAGCCAAAGAAGTCAAAGAAAGGAAGAGCAGCGGCGACAAGAAGGTACGCTCTGTCAAACCGAGTCATAGAGCGTCTGACACGGTCACATAGTCAATATTAATGTCTGATATGTTGATATAGAGATTTACTTATTTACCAGTCTGTCATTTAGGAGTTAAAGTGAGTATTATTTCATCACACAAGCAGTGTTAATAAGTAATTTATGAATTTCTTTAAGTACTTTTAAGAAGTAAAATGTCTTATTTTTGCACTTCAAATACGAGGATTTGACCCAGCTGAGTTTTATATTCAAATATTTGCTGTATCAAAGGTTAGGTTAGGTTAGGTTAGGGACTCATTGTGTTCCCTGATATGTCTCCTGAAACTTCCACTCTTAAACCTTTATTAGCAGTACACAATCCTAAACTCAATAACAACATTTGATTGTTATATCTCTGCACTTTGTTACCATAGTTTCCCCGATAGAATTCCCCTCAAACCTGCTGTAGTGGTGTTATAATTCTAACCTGATTATAGACTTCTTGGATATTAAGACGATTACTAACATCTCTGAAGCCAGAAGATTCATCAGCTCTAAACACACTCTGTAGGTCACTACAGCTGCCTGCTATGTTACAGCCTGAGTAATGGGCTGCTGTAGTGTTTGTTGGCATGGTAACCTGCAGATCAGCAGCTTCAGCTGGACACCATAAACTACTCAACCTCATCAGGGGAGAGAGAGATTTTACACATCAGCAGCAGAGGCAAGATGATGAATACATAGAGTCAAATAAATATGCAGGATGAGGGTCGTAAAGTCGTTGTCTTACTTGGAAATGGAAACAAAAGTGAAGTGACCCGTGAAGTTTAAGAGCTAAATCCGTTTTTAAAGGAAGAATGTGCGACATAAATACAGCAGAAATCAAGTATATTCTCTCTGAGTCATGACTGTCTACAATGAGTGAGAAGCTGGAGTCCCGCTGGCTGTGTTGTTGTGAGAGCTGTGTCTACATGGACGGGACGACCTTGCGTATAAAGCTGTTTTAGTCAAGGAGAGAAGAAGAATTACATACTCACTGATTATTTGGATGTCATGTAAGTGTTTTTAGTTGATGGTCATTCTGTGTCAATGTAAGTGAAATATGAAGCTACAAGCTAACTAAAGAGCGCTAACATTATCCTGCTAACACAACAATGCAGGCCACAGGCGATTGCAGCTCGACAATTTTGTCCACCACTTGCGCTTAATGGTGCTTAATTATAGTGCGTTTCAATTTGATTACTCCTTCCTATGAACGTTAATAGTAGAGAGGGGTTGGCGGTGTGTCTCTGGAGGAGAGCGGAGGCTTCAGTATAGTGGAGGTGTCGCCTAATAGAAGTTTGTTTTGGTTTAATGCTGCTGCTCAAGGGCGACATCTACTGGGCCAAAAAGTTGCACATTCTTCCTTTAAACACAACCAAGACGTTGGGTTTGGAGTATTTTAACTTTTCATAACTGTGAAGTTTGTTGAATCCTTTTTTAGAAGATATAATTATGTTTTGTTTTGTTTTATAAGATTTATTTTTGGGCTTTTTGTGCCTTTATTTGAGAGATAAGACAGAGTCAGAAATCAGGGAGAGAGAGAGTGGGGAATGATATACGGGAAAGGGGAGCCACAGGCCGGATTCAAACCCGGGCTGCCGCTTGGAAGACCACAGCCTCCATACATGGGGTGCGCGCACCAACCACTGCGCCACCAGCGCCCCAATAATTATGTTCTTGTTGAGGAAAATCTGTAAAATTCAAAAAATGTTTTTGGCGAAAGCGCCTTGCAAGTTTTCCGCTTTTGTTTGTCATTTTCAAGTCATTCAGAACAACTCTCAGGGCTTTCACATTTGCAGAAAACTCCTGAAGAATAAATAAAATTGAATTTAAGCTTCATGAAGGTTCAAACCTGTTTTTTGCTCGTTAACTTCACAATTTGTTTCAAATATTTCGAACAGCCTCAAAAGTGTTTTTAGATGGATGTAAAAAATGAACATGCTGGATGTTGCTCTGCTGCTGATGGAGCTGCTGGCTGCAGGTTTGAAGTTGTGATCTGCTCGATGATGTAGGTGACTGCTGCTCTCTGAAGGCTCCTCCTCTCTGTCCTCTCGTCAGATCAGTGAGGAGACCAGGCTGGCTGCTCCTGCACCTCCTCACCTCTCCTCTTCCTCCTCTCCTCCCTCCTCCTCTTCTTGCTGCTCCTCTGCTGTCGCTCCTCTTGCTGTTACCTCCTCTTCTTCTTCCTGCTCTTCCTGTCCGGCCCAGCAGGCTGCCTGCCCCAGCCAAGGTAATCATGTATGTATCAGGCTATGCAGCGTGGAGGGAGGGAGGGAGGGAGGGAGATGGGCGTTGTTTTTTTATTTCTCATTAAAATTAGCGACCACCAGTCGAAGACTTTTGTTTCTCTGCTCTTGTCTGAAACTGATTATTCCCATTAAAGAAATCAGCTGACTGTGCTTGCTGAGCCTGCAACCTTTGATTATTTATATGTGCATTAATCAATCAGTCGTTTGCACATTACATTTCAATAACTGAGACGGTTCTGATTATCCTGACTGAATGATAACTCAGTTTCCAAAGAAAATGGGACGTTGTGTAAAATGTAAATAAAAACAGAGTGTGGCGATAAACTGAGAATTGTCTGAGAAAATGTATTCCCATTTTTTTATTTTATGCCACACAACAGGATTATTTATCTTTATTATTTACAAGTTACACAACGTAACTTCTGCTTTGGAAAGGGATTGTATTTTAGTTTAATAGGATTCACAAGTTTTATAACAAGCTGCTTCTGTTATGTGCATGTTTTAACTCAATTTACAGGACAAGCAGCTCAAACTCTGAGATCAACAGCTCAATTGACTAAATTAAAACATCCACAAAGAATATTATGCTGCAGGAACAGGATATGACAAACACCTTGTGAAACTATCCTAAGGAGTTGTAGCTGGCTGTTTTCTCAATATCCACTAATCTTCATGTTTTTATTTTATTCAATTTGTTTTAGGATTGACGTCCTCTTCTTGACAGTGCAACAAAAGCAAATGTATTTAACTTAAAGGTCACATATTCTCCTCCTTTTCAACCAGTGTAAATAAGCCTCAGCGCTCCCAAAACATGTGTGTGAAGTTTCTAGTTCCAAATCCACTCTGATCCTAAATATGTAAATGAGCTGTGTCTGACCACACCCCCTCTCCAGAAGGGCTCGGGTGGCTCCGGCTTTCTTGCTCCATGTCCTATTGTTTACGGTGAGAAGGCAGACTCAGAGCAGAACAAACACCTAGCTGTGGGAGTGTCACCCACCTGGGGGAGGGGCTACTACCCTTTGTGATGTCATGAAGGGAAAATCTCCAAACGGCCTGTTTGAGCACACATTTTCTGAAAAGTGGAGCAGGCAGAAGATGGAGAGGATGAACTTTTCTCATCATTGGGTTTATAGACAGACTAGACACACATGTTAGTGTTAGAGAAACATGGTTAAGTGGATTTTGCAGAATATGTGACCTTTAGGGTGAAACTAACAATTTTCTAAATTTAGAAATCAAAAACCAGCATGAGTTCTTTCCACCATAAAGAAATGACATGTTTATGTCTAAGCAGTTAAACCTTGAAAAGCACGCTGAGCGATGTGTTAACAAACAGCTGAAGGAGCATAACAGGAGAATGACCGACTAATAAATAACAATCAGTACTGATCCTACTAACTCTGATCAGACAGATTTACGATATGTGACACTGTGGTTGTAAATATTTTCGATACATGTTCGGTACAAGTTTAAAAACAATTGAAGATCCGTATTTTTTTTTAAGCGTCAATACTTTTCAATCATATGTTTAACCAAAGGGAGAGAGAGCACTGTCTATATTGCACAAATACTTGTCAACATTTCAGGACTAAATCATTGCTAGTGTATATATTTGTGTTACGCCCACCATAAGGCGGCCGTATGGGGCTAACAACAACCAGTGTACACCTTACCAAAGTCAAAACCAATGGATTTATTATCAGACAAACTAAGTGATTAAACAAACTCAAAACTAATTTAACTAAACACAACAACACACACTCTCTGGCTGAGAGGCACAGCAGTCCCAACTCCAAAAGCCTCTTCTCTGCTGAAGCCAGCCCTGACCTTTTTAAGCTCCGAGGCCAGGTGCACCTCATTGTGCAATCAGAAGCTTAACCTGGGCGGGAGAGTCAACAGGGGGGGAGAAGGGACAAACAGCACAGAGAAATATACAGCTGTAACATTTGTGCAATTTAGACAGTGTGCAGGAGATGGTTTGCTATTTTTGTTTATTAAAGAATTCCTGGGACTTTTTTTTTTTTGTTGCCATAATATCCAAACGAGAATCTTTTAACAGAGGTGTCCGCACATCCAATGATCTTTTTAAGTAGGTATGACGCCCTGCTTACGCTCACTAGCCTCCTTCTGTGACACTTACGGTTCAGGCTGCACACTGTGTGAGTGTATGGATACTAACAGAACTAAATGCATGCTTGTTTTGTTCATCCGTCCATTAAAACAGGCTGTGACAGTTCTGTGGTATTCATGTTTTTTTTGTGTGTAATGAAATCTGTTTATGCCTCAAACTTTGAAGGATGCGATAACTGCTGAGAAAATAACTGAGAAAGCATCCATGTTTTCGATCAATGCTTGTTGTAGGTTATTATAACTATTTAATTCATAGTTTTGTGAAAAAATGCAAAGAACAAGTTTTGAGGGAGTTATTTTTTAAATGTCCGACAGTCCAGAAGTTGCTAAATTATTAGATTTTTCATAATGAGAGACTAAAAAGTATTAAATCTTCATGTTTTAGATGATTGAGGCATTCAATCATTCAGTTTATTCTGATCACAGTTTGGTTTATTTCATTTAAAAGTTTATTCTAAAACACTTCACACAGAGCTTGTCATATTTATAGACGGCAGGATGTTGCATAGGGTGAAAGAGTAGATGCTGAAAGTTCAGAGAGTCTGTTATTTTCATCGTAGTGTCACTGATCTGTTTGGTTTCCTGTTTCAGAAATGACGAGCAGAGAAGAAGCCCCCGTTTCCCCCAGTGTCCCCCCTCCTGTGGACACTGGACCTCCCCCTGCAAGCTTTAACACACATACACAACTCCTGTCTGTTGAACCCGAGCAGGTCAGCGACACACCTGAAACACCGGGGGAGGGGTGGGGAGGGGAAGAGAGAGGAGGGGTGTGTTAGTATGAACAGGCAGAAACTCTACCTGTGAAAGATTATTGCATGTACTGAGGGATTATCTGCCCATCCCATCCAAACTCAACATTTAAACATTATATTTGATACAAAGATGTTTAAATATACCTGTGAAGGATGCCAAAGTAGATCTTCAATTTTGAGACAGTTACAGTTTTAAAAATGTTTTCGCTGCAACAGCCAGAATCTGTACTTAATATTTAGTCATTGTTTCCAACACAGACGATACTGAGACCACCCAGGTGTATTTCCTGACCTCTCTTTTATCCGTAGCCTATTAAATCGCCATCGTGAGAGAGTGAGAGAGAGAGGTCCTCACACGCTGATGTGTGACGTCTCATGCAAAAGCTGAAGCGTTTTATGCCGTTTTCAATATTTTCTGCAGCTGCTTGCTGCCGATGCTGTCCTGCTCTCATTGTGATATGTATTGTAGTTTTAGCGTCTTTAACGTACAGCTGATGAGAATTGTCAAAATAGCAGAAGTGCAGAAAATGAAGGCACAGGATGAGGTGAAGCAGGACAAGCTGAGACAGAGAATTGAAAGGAATTCAGGTGAGCAGATTAAAATCGTTTGTCACACAAACTAAAATAAGTTGGAGGATAAAGCTAATTTATATTCAACCTAATGCTACTATGGTACAATCACACCACCCACCATGCCCCTCGTCAACTCCACCGCGGTAGACAAATGTTTTTCTGACATATCCGCCGCCAGCACCGAGGGGCCACGCGGCCTCGGGTGCGGGGATCTCAAACCGGTAATGATCCTTCCGCAGGTTCACAGTGGGAAACAGTGTATTATTATTGTTGGGGTTTGTTGTGTTTAGATGAAACATTTTTTCAACAAATCTGCTTTCTAGCTCATCTTCTTTTCTTCACTAAATTACACATTTTGGCGTTTCTGTCCCCAAAATTTTCTCTGGACTCAAAAGGCTTGACAAATGTTGTAAATGTTATCGTTCAGCTCAATGGATGCTAATGTTGGATTATGTGTTTTTTTTCCCTCTACAGGTACAACAACCTGCTGTCAGTCTGTCAGAACAAACACAATGTGGAGATCCTCCAAGTAATGCTACAACTACAACAACTTCTTCTATTTCTGTCTGGTCAGTATTAAACATCGCCTCTACCATTAAAATAGTTTTCATGACTTTAATCTCTAAATAAACATCCAGTTACTTTAACTCTTAACTTCCCTTTGATTGCTGCTTATCTATTGTATTTGTAGTACAACTTTTAAGCCACTTTAGGACATTTAATGTGACAAATATTTGCAGACTTTTGCGTTTCAATCTGTTGAGAGTTGATGTAACTAAACATAAATAAGATGAGACAGGAATAGAACTAAAGATGTGTCTGGAAAAAAGATAAACTTAGAGGTTAAGGACCTGTTTCTTGCATGGTTGTTCTCTCTCTTTTGATGTTTTTACTGTCTCTGCTAAAAACAAAAAAACTACTGCCAGTGCCTAGTAAAAACCAGCTGACTCTACTTTCATTTGATCATGGTCCAAACAGCTCACAGTTGAACATCCACATGTCTGACCTCGGCATAGTCAGTTACTGCTGCAGGTACTACTGACACTGCAGGTCTACCTCTAAAGCTATTAAGTCACTTTGATAACATTCTTTCATATTTGAACACGTTCTATTGTTTGCACAGCTTTGTAGATTTGTTTTTTTATTTATTCCACCCTTGTGTCTCCCTCTTCCAGTTGTGTCTGCTCCTCTTCCTCCTCCACACCAGAATCAACATTGTGCCTCACCTGCAGCTCGACCTGCTGCCCTCTACTTCCTGCTCACCTGCTCTCCCTCTCCTCCTCCAACAAAGACTTCATCACCCACCTCTCCCATCTTCTCAGCTCCGCTCTGAAGGAGCAGAAGACGAAGAACATGGAGGAGGAGGCGGAGACAGAGGAGGAGAGGGAGGAGGAGAGAGTGGAGGAGAGAGTGGAGGAGAGGGAGGATGAGAGCTCTGAAACCAGAGAGATTCAGTCCAATGTGGAGGGAACTGAGGTGGAAATTCACAGGTAATTTAACTGGCAACCTTCTCTTTTTTTTGTGTGGTTTCTGAGATCCTCTGAATTACATTTCCAATCCAATTTTAAATTCAGGCATTCTGCATCTATGCCTCCCTGGAGTCCCAGATGTTCCCACTGGTTTCTGGGATTGTAATGTTTTATTGCTGGTTTCTGAAATCATCTGCACTTTCTAATAGTTTTTGGACCCTGTAGGTTTTTGGATTATGTTATTGCTAGGAATGCACAAATGTATCCATTGAACATCAGTATCAGCTGACATCAGCCTATTGGCAAATAATGTGGCATGCACCAATGATGTCAGTAGTCTATGTTTATCTGTTGTGTTACATCAACGTAAAGCAAGCGAGCTAGTAGAGATGAGGTTCTTAGTGGGCAGAGGAGGTCAGCTGTTTGATAAACTTGGTTAGTTTTCATTGTCAAACGTGAAAGTACTCAGAGCGATCAGCGACTTGCAGTTTGTGAGACATGTTCCAGTGACAAAGATACCAAGAATGACAAAGAAGTAATGAAAACTACGTCGTAATCAGTATTGATAATTTGCTAAATTGTTACGTTAAACATCCCTGATCTCACAATTAATCATATCCAGTTTTTGTTGGATCATGAAATTCCAGAAAATATTTTGTTTTTTGTTCATGAGATTGCCTTAAATTCCCTGAAATGTAAGTGCTTTATATCTGGGATCTTCGACTGCTCTCTTCACATCCTGAGGTTCCTGCAAGTGTCTGGGAATTCCAAATGTTCTTAAAGTAGTCTGTCATCACCGTGGACTCTAGGATCCTTAACGGTCACACTGTTTTTTTTGTGTTTGGGCTGTAGTCTGAGATCAGCTAAAACGGAAACCAATTCAGATTATAATTTCTGAATTCTTCCTCAGCAGGACTTTGTCAAATACAAGTTCATGTTTTTATGTAATATAAAAATGTTTCAACTTTAATAACTGATTGAATAACTTCTTATTTTATCACTGCCATGCTCATTATTCCAGTCCAGGCTCCAGGGATGGGTACTTTGAGATGGGTCTGGATGACTCTGTTGAGGAGTCGGTCTGCTCCTCCTCCACATCACTAACCGGTCCTTCTGCAGAGGAGTCCATCCCTCCCCAGGGGGATCCGTGTGAGGAGGAGGAGGAAGAGGCGGAGGAAGCAGAGGTGAAGGTCAGCAGGGTTCTGTGGTGCTACTGTCTTCAGGTGAAGGAGGAGGTGGAGCAGAAGAAGGCGTGTCTGGTGCTAAGCGATCATCTGTTTTGCCTGCTGTACCTCAAAGATGATTTCACTTGGGCCAATCAGGACGCAGGTAAGCAGTACATCATCATCCTCCGAAGACGAAATCTGTATTGTGTTAAGTTACCAAGCTTGGATTTGGGTTTATCTGAGTTCATATAAAGTTTTTTAGACTTATGACTTTGGAATAACATCCTCACATCTGAAGCTTGTAGTGATGCAGTCATATTTTTGGTGCGTGCTGAATTATTTAAAGATAGCTGCTCTCGTGTTCTCAGACCAGGAGCAGGGTTCGCCTGTGGAGGAGGTGCTGTCCGGCCTGGAGGTGGACCTCCTGCTGCCATACTCCCAGCTCCTGCTCTCCTCCCACGCAGAGCTCCCCGACTCCTGCCTCACATTGGGTTGCCAAGCCAGTCCATCCCGTTGGTACATCTTCTCTGAGTATGAGGAGCTCCGACGGACCAGGAGTGAGCTGACAGGACTGATACAGGTCAGAAAGCAGCAATAAATCCATTTTAATTTAATACTCAGACAACTTTATTTATCCCAGAGGGAAATTTAGTTCCGCAGTCCACCCACACCATTTATACATTTACAAACAAACAGCAGAAGGAGTTAATCAGAGACAACAAACAAATCAGTATTTGACAAAGGTAAGCGTAGGCACTCTGATACCTTCGTGTGGTCTCTTTGGGCAATGACACCCACAAGGGCCCGATGAGAAGCACAGTTTAAGGATGAGTAATAAATAAGTCAATAAAAACATAACTAAGAAATTTAAGGATGCACCAATTTGAGGTCCTCCAAATTGAGGGAAGCTGGCAACAATCGGCACACAACTGAAAAAGTTTAGAAAAAAACTCCACTGAGCTGATCGGCACAGCATCTCAGAGTGTGCGTGCAGACCGCATCGAGGCCAACAGCCTTCCTTTATATATGTTTCCTTAAATAAGAATGTTACCTGATCTTGTGGTATTACAAGATCTTTTAAGGGTACAAGAGAATTCAGATAGTTTGAAACAAAAGAAAAAATCATTAAAAGTGTTTGACAAATCTGCATCGTCCATCCCATCAATGCTGATAAGCTTCTTGGCCTGACTTCTGTTCTGGTCAATACAAAATGATCTCAACTATTTAAAGACTTCTTTCAAATAAATCTTTAAACTTTTCACAAGGATTTCAAGTAAGTAACGTACATTAGAAAGCAATGGAGCAGTGTCTGTCATACAGTGGCTGTTGTCATAGAGACAGGACGCACTTGCAGCACTTTTATTGTCAGTGCTTAAGCGCTTCACCCAAGCGCTTAGCCAGCGCTTTGTTCCTCAAAAGAAAAACAGGTGGACACAAGTCATTCAACACTGCTCAGTTGTAATTGGGTATAAGAGCACATGTTGTGTGAAAGAAATGAACAAGGAGTGCATTAACGTTACAGAACTGAAGTGTGGCTGATCATGAAGCTCAAATCAAGCTGACGTCTTTTCAACTGTTTTCCAGGCAGCAGGTTCTGACCTGGAGCCCCCCAACAGTCCTCAGCTCCTCCCCCGCTCGCTCATCAACTCCTGGGAGCTGGAGGAGAGTCAGGGAGCCAAAGGAGGCTATCCTGCCCACCTCCTTCCCTCCCCCTACTCCTCCTCCTCTCCTACAGACCGCCACCATCTCCTGTCAGACATATTATCCAAAAACGAGAAGCCCAGCCTCCCCACTCTCCTTTTTCTCACTCACCGACACCTCTGGGTGCTGAAGATGGACTTCAGAGAGCTGGCAGAAAGAGAGCGAGAGAGCAAAGCTGATCTTCATCAACCCTCTTCCTCCTGCTGCAGTCTATTGCGGGTGCCCCTCGGCTCTGTGGTGCATCACCCCAGAGAGCGAGCTTCTCAGGTCATGGTCAGAAACAGCTACACTTCCTGTCAGGACCCCAAACACCAGCACAGGTAAAGAGGTCTATGACATGTGATATCACACTTACCGTATTTTCCGCACTATAAGGCACACTTAAAAGCCTTTAATTTTCTCAAAAAACGACAGTGCGCCTTATAATCCGGAGCGCCTTATATATGGATCAATTGGTTAATTGGTTGATCCATACTGGTTGTACACGGCGCTCAGCGACACTGACTCGGACAATGACGAGAGGGAGCCGGGCATGTTGGATGCCGTACTCGCCCAACTGTTCAATTCGGACACTGAAGAAGAAGAATTCGAGGGATTCGTGGACGGGGAATGAACTGAAAAAGTGAGCTTTACGTGTTATACGTAACTGAACAATGTTGAGTTATGCACTAACGTTTGAATTAGCGGTATCAGACTGTGTTTCTTTTACGTGTTTACAACTGAACAAGGCTGGGTGATATTGTGAATATGCACATTAACGTTTGAACAACGTTGAGTTATTGTGAATGCACTAATGAATGAACAATTTCGAGAGTTACTATATTGTGAATGCACTAACGTTTGATTTAGTGGTATCAGACTGTTTCTTTTACTACGTGTTTACTGAATCAGGGAAAAGTTCGCCTCCACGTTTGGGAGAAGAGGAGTGGATGCATAACGCAACCCCAGTCAAACGTTTGACTGCAGTATCTTCTATTCTATGCGCCTTATAATCCGGTGCGCCCTATATATGAAAACAGTTCTAAAATAGGCCATTCATTGAAGGTGCGCCTTATAATCCGGTGCGCCTTATAGTGCGGAAAATACGGTACCTTTCTTTAATCATTTGCTCTGTTCTGTTAAGTTTAGAAATCATCAGTATTTTTTTTAATCACCATGTTGTGTTCAGGAGCAGTCACTGTGTGGAGGTGTTGCTGGGTGGTGAGGTGCTGCTGTTGCTCTTCCCTTTGGCCCGGGACAGAAGCTCATTCCTGGGGGAGTTGAGCCAGCAGAGAGCCTCTCTGGAGGGGCTGAAGATGGTCGCGCTGCCTCAACCCTGCATGTCCTGCCCACACCAAGAACAAAACACTCCAGGTGAAGACCGACTACCTGCTAATACACTTTTAGCCTTGTTGACCTTTTTCTGAATTTGACTCTGTTTTTTTTTCACTCTTAGGCCATTACAGATCCAGGGACCAGTGCTGTTGTTTCAGTAACATCAAATCCCAAAGCACCGGCAGGTAAAGCCTCTGTTAAGTTCACCTGGGATTCCGTTCTACTTTCTGTACCTACATTTGCAGCTGCATGCAAAAAAAAAAACATTCCAATACTTTTTTTAAAGAAGGGCATACAATGTGTCTTGTTCCTCTCTGTATTGATTTTGAGAGATGCCTTGCCGGTCCATTGTTAAAAACATTTTCTCTTTCCTCCTCAGCTGGGACTCCTCCCACCCTCAGTTGGAGGAGAACCAACCTTCACCCCACCTCCTGCCAGGTCTCTCCCCAGGATTGAAGCTCCTGTCTGGGCTCCAAGGACAGCAACTGCTGGCTTACTTCCACAGATATATAGCGATGGTAGGACACACACACACACACACACACACACACACACACACACACACACACACACACACACACACACACACACACACACTGTTTGTTAATAATGTTGTTCTCGTTTTGGACTTGTGCTGTGCTCAGAATGCTAACTAATTTTTCTCACTGTTTCCATACACTTATCTCAGTCCAAGGCTGAGGAGGTGAGACAGGTCCTGTGGCTGTCTGTGGTTCTGTACAAGTCTCCTGATTCTGAGCTCACCTGCTGTCTGCTGCTCTCCACGGACACAATCTACTTCCTGTTAGAAGACTCCGCCTCCACGCTCGGCCATAACTCAGGTGAGATGCAGAAGATATGAAGACGAAAAAAAAATATAAAGTCACGCAATGGACAGAAAAGGAGTCATCATGTTCTTACATCAGTAGAGGTGCTAGGCCTAAAAACTGTTCGGTCGGAAGTCAGCGTAGCGTCTTCTCCGCCATTGTTGTTAACAATGCTTATACCAGAAGCCCCGCCCCTTCTTGACTTTGATTGGTCAGTGGTGGAAAAGTAACATTGACGAGCATGGCGCTGTTCTAAAAGTTGAACTGGTATCAAGTGAGAGCTTTGTGTTTTGATAAATCTCTCTTTTTTTTTTTCTCTTTCGCTTCCTCTCTATATCTGTCAGTGTTGGACACGATGGACTCTGGAGATCCTGACGTCTCTCTGTGCTGCTGCCTGTCCATCAGACTGTCTGATCTTCTGTCTGTTAACGTGGGACTGTTCGACCAGTACTTCAGAGTCGTCGGTCAGTGGATCAACACACACACTCTGCCCCCCTTTGTTTACAGATATCATACAAGTTCATGTTGAAATGCTTACATTACTCTGTGTCTCCCAACGATCTCTCTCTCTGGCTGTGTGTTTACAGGTCGTTCAGCCGATCACATCGTGTGCTGTCTCAGCAGGGACAGTTACGGGACCGGCCTTTTTCTTCAGGAGCTGATGTCAGCTCTCAGTCTGCAGCAGCAGCTTCCTCCTCCAGAGCCGTCGGATCAGGACTTCTACTCCCAGTTCACCAACACAAACACAGGTAAGAAACCCTGCTGAGGGGCGCCAGGAGCCTAGTGGTTAGAGTGTGCCCTGTGTGCCTTTTGTGGAGGCTGTGGGCCTCCGGGCAGGCGGCCTGGGTTCAAATCCGACCTGTGGCTCCTTTTCTGCATGTCTTTCCCCACTCTCTCCTGCCCCAATTGCTGCCTCTATAGAAACATTTTCTCATTTTAAATGTCCATCATTTATTCAATCCTTGCCCTAACCTATTCTGCGCAAGATCTAATGTGACTATTGTGATTTGTCTCTTATTGCAGGTAAGATGCAGAACTACGAGCTGGTCCACAGCAGCAGGGTGAAGTTTATTTATCCCAGCGAGGAGGAGATGGGCGACCTGACCTTCATCGTGGCAGAGAGGAAGACTTCAGCCAGCGCGGCATCCTCGTCCTCACGCTCATTCAATGTCCTGCTGTACCTGCTGGTCTTCCAGGTGAGTACTGCTGCCTTTTTGTAATAACAATAATAATAAGCTTTATTTAAATAGCACTTTTCAAAACAGGGTTACAAAGTGCTTTACGAAAAAAATAAAATAGAGAAATGTGAGGAGGACAATACGGGAGTTCCACAGATTATACAAATTAGAAGGAAACAAAACAATTTAAAACCAGCAAGAAATCACAGAAGAAAGGGGAAACATCAATATTAAAAACACCAAAAAGATTAAAGGAATGAAAGAAGCAGATTAAAACCAGAAAATGTTAAAAGATCAAGGTGAAGATACTGCCCTGGAGTCTACCATAATTAGGAATAAAGGCATTATCTAAGGAATGGAACAAAAAAAATTGTTTTTTCACAGGAAGTTATCATGCTTGAATAAAAAAAGTTCTAAAAAAGCAAAATATATATATACAATGCTACACACATGCACGAGTATGAAGTGCAGATGAAGTCATTGGCCTCAGTGTAGGTACAGCGTAGATTAGACTCAGAAATCTAAACCAGGCTTTAAGCAGCTAATGTTTCTCTTTGTCCCTTCAATGTGTATAACAAGTTTGCATTATCAAAACAATGACGACAATGACAACGTTGCCAGAATTTTCCATCTGTGACTTAGTGCAAACAAATTCATTACTGCATATTAAAAATCCCTCTCTTCGTATTTGCATGTGTTAAGACTTATAACTCTCAACTTTTAAAAATAATAATTGTAATTTATTCCTTTCCTTCAGGTGCAGGTCCCTAGCAGTCTGCCCAGTCAAGGCTCCACTCAGTCAGGTCACTCCCCTCCATCTCCGGTCCTCCAGCCCAGGACTCTGATCCTGACCAGCACCGACGTCTTTCTATTGGACGAGGACTACGTCAGCTATCCTCTGCCCGACTTTGCCAAAGAACCGCCCTCCAGGTGACCTCACAGGAAGAACCCGACCCTCTGTAGCAAAGCTTTTTAAAAACATGTTCCTCCCTTTATCCAGGAAGAATTACTAACAGTGATGGCCTCCAGGGGTCAGGATGCTGGGCTGATTAGGGTTCAACAACAAAAACAAAAAAATCTGAGAAATGTGCCCTCTCCCCTGATAGCATCAGAGTGTAATTTTAGTAACACATAAAAAAAGACTTGTTTGTGCTCGTCTGCTGAGAAAAAAAGAGGAAGAAGAGGAGACACAACTGACAGTGTGATGTGTAGACAGTTCAGTCAAAGGGAAATAAACAAGTTAAATCAGTGTTCATTGAAGCTTTATAATGGAGAGGCTGAACTTTGACTCAGTCATTGCTAGGAGAAGAGTAGTAAGAGATCAAGTATACTGAGCTTTTGTCACTTTATCAGTGACTCACTAGGAACTCAAGAGGACACGTTTTGATCAAGGCAGAGCGTTATTTTAAAGGAAGTCTAAATCTTTTAAGTGACTTTCTTTGAATACAGCCGCAGATGACCTGACATTTAAAACATAACATGCTCTGGACAGTGTGTACATTTCTGTCAATAGTCTCAAAGTGTTTCATAGTTTTATTAGATTATGATGCTTAGGTGGGGTCGATACTGATGATAAGTTGTTGATGATGAACGATAACCGATAATTGGAACCGATATGCTTTTACAGTAAAAATGAAAATATTTCTGTCAACGTTCCAATTTTTGGAGTCTTACAAACTCCAACACAAGACTTTGTTAAAATGCTCAACCATAGACTCTCCTACTGCTCCGGACTGCTCTGTCCCCAAGCTTCAGTGTTGGTTTGCTTTTTCTCATGTCACGTCCAGCCAATCGGATAGCGCCGTGTGCGGGGCATAAATTGACTCGGTGTGATGAGTGAAATGAGGGTGCGTTTATTTTACCTCCGAACTCGGATGTCGGAGCTGGGAATGACGTCACACCCAAGTTAACCGCGTTCCAGTTGCGAAGTTGGCAGCGAGTCAGACGAGCTCCAGGAGAACCTTTTGTGTTGTTAGCTTATACCTGGCCATAGTAACGCACTGTGTGATAGTTTGTGACATAACATGACAACATATTCACAGATAGAACTTGCAGGTAACTTTCAGTGTGATTGATTTCATTACACACAAAGTAAGAGGACATAGTTGCTAATAAACACAATCCTGTAAAGCTTAAACGTTGCTGTTGGTGCATGTAGCAGCCGTGTTGGATTTTAACTCGGACTACTGAAGTTGCTCAAAGTGTCCCGAGTTGGAATTCCGACTTCAGGGGAGCTTTTCTGTTTTTTTTTTTGTGATGTGCATCGCATTGACTGAATGGTAGTAGCCATCCTCATCATCACCTTCCTCCTCACGTCCTCTCACAGGGAGCGGTACCAGCTGCGTGAAGCTCGGAGGATCAGGGACTTGGACCGGGTCCTGCTCGGGTACCAGACCTACCCTCAGGCTCTGACTCTGGTGTTCGATGACCTGCCGGGCCCTGACCTGCTCTGCCACCTCACCATGGACCACTTCACAGCTGGAGGGGAGGAGGCCTCACCCAGAGGGGGAGGAGCCAGCGGGGGCGCAGAGGGCGAGGTCCAGTGGTGCGTGTTTGTCCCGGGAGCTGACAGCAGAGAGAGGCTGATCTCACTCCTCGCTCGCCAGTGGGAGGCGCTGTGCAGTAGGGAGCTTCCTGTTGAGCTCACCGGGTGATCGGCCGCGTGGACAGACGGGTGACTGTTCAGCATCTCGTTGGTCATCAGGAGCTGGAGGGTGGAGTCAGCGTATGACAGGGAATTACACAAATTCAGGTCTTGATTAAGCGCTTTAAAGGCCTCAATATGCTTCAAACACAGCCCAGGGCAAAGCACTAAAAGTCACAGCGAGGAGAAGATGTGATGAATCATCGTTATGGGGATAACGGAGCAAACTTTCAGTTTCTCCTTGTAGGCATTAAGATGTAGAAAGTGGTGTTTAAAAAAGAGAGAGCTTAAGATAGAAGTTAAATCCTGTTTACTTGACACACTACTTGATTTAATCCCCTGACTTTGATGTTTCGCACATTATGAAGAAGAGGTGTGGTTTTATTTCAACATCTCGTTATGTTCAAAAGTCAAGCAACGATGCACTTCACTCCTATGGCCTCGGATTTTATTCATGAAGTGTCTGCTTGGCATCTTTATTTAAATTGGATCCTCAGCTGCAGAGTAACCTATGGAGGATCTGGTAGATGCTATCCAACTACATGCGCCGTTTCTTTTTCTTTATCGTTGTGTATGTTTGTAACTCAAAGTGCAGTCAAAAACCCGTCACAGCAAGCTCCAGGCCTCAACCCACCGCCTTCTCTCTCTTTCTCCAACAACAGTGGAGGCAGTGAAGGAAGGAGCATCAGAATTGGCTCTGATGTCGCCCAAACTGAGAGATCTGACACCAATCAACAATATGTAAAAGATCTACCGGTATATGTCAATATGCAAGGTGTCAGTTTCAACACTCCTGTTTAGAATTAGAGGTTAAAACAATCAAAGTCTTTTAGTATTTCTTACATGTAATATTGGGTTGTCATCAGTATCTCTAAATATTACATTTTAGGCATTATAGGAAGGAAAAAATGGCGTCTAAACATCTCTTCTGAGAGTAAGGAGTGAAGAGAAGTGACTGGCCCTTCTGCTCTGCTTTTGGTCGATGTGGATGGAGGTTGTTTCAAGTGCTGTCAGACGACCCAAGAAGCACTTGGTTTGAAGCATACTGTGGCCTTTAGTCTTAACTCTTGGAAAGATGAAGGGATTTAGCACTTGGTACACACAGTTTGGCGTCAGCTTCAGAGAAAAAAACTGAGTGAGAAGGACTCAAAGGACATTACAGACCGAGAGAGGAGCCTGTGGCCTCACATGGAGCCTAAGTTTCTAGAAAAACCACGAGTATCTCCACAAAGAAGATTTACTTATCATTTGGTGACAGACAGACAGACAGACTTGTGTTGCACAGCAGGGGGCGCTGCAGACAGTCCACAGGAGTTCTATTAGATTTTAATCAATGTTAACCTTAATGGAACAGTTTTCATTTCTGGTGAATCCTCTTGTCCTCTTTCCTCTCCAAAATCAGATTTGAATCAAATTCTCATCTCTGTTTGTCCAGTGCAAAGAGAGGTCGTGTGAGCCTAGCTTAGCACAAAGACGTCAAGTCAGGGGAAACTGCTAGCGTAGCTTCAGAAAGAAAGATTTAAAAAAAATTTTTTTTTTTTTAAAAATCCCATTTCATTAACTCCAAAGCTGTTTGATTTTCATGTTGCTATTTATGTAAAGTTGCTCTTAAAACCAAAAATCACTTTTTAAAAATATTTTTTACATTTTTTTGTGCAGTCTGACTTCGAAAGGGAGGTGACAAGAGGATGATCCTAAATGTTGGATTGTAGTTTTAAATAGCACACACGCACACACACACACACACACACACACACATAAAAGCTGCTGCTCGGCACAATCTGCTCTCTCAACATTTTATTCCTTGCACATCGTAGCGGATGAGGCAGTGTTATTAAACTGTATATTATTATAAATATGATATTAATATAAGTTGTTGCTTTGGGACCGATGTTTTGTATCATGACGCAGACTTTGTACTAAACATGAAGATCCTGTTCATACTCCCAACATGAACTCTCAAATGTCACATTTAGTATTATCATTGAGTATTATTTTTTATATTTTCTTTGTGTTTATTTTATTTTATGATGTGTTTTTTTTTTTTTGTACAATAATATCGACAAATGGGAGCCCAGCTAATGTTGGCCCCTCCCACTCTTCACCAGTGTTGTTTACATTACATGTTTTTGTCTTGTTAAAGGGGAATGCCACTTAATTAAAGTGAAAAATGAAAGATCTGCATTTTGCAATGTTTCCTGTAAGCGACAGCCGTTTATTCCTTTGGTAAAGAAACCACAGGTTTCCAGCTGATGCAGCAAATCAAACAGAAAAACAGTTTTACCACTGAATACCTACTTCATGTTTCTGTGAAAGAGATTAATAAGAAGCTGTGGTAAACACTCCTCTTTAACATCTAGGATCAGTTGTGCAGAAGTCAAGACTACAATGACCGGGACCAAGATATACCCGAGACCAGGGTGCTCCAAGACAGAGACATTTAGGGATCGAGGACGAATCAAGACTGAGACAAGACCAAGACCATAAATATCTCTAAAAAAATCATCATCATCATCTTGTGTACAGCCGGTGTGTCACTCACTTAGACTTAACATTGTGAAGGTTGCGGCATTAACCAGCGGGATAAATGTATCTACAAATAAATTGACGTATGTTCTTTTACAAAGAAGTGTTTCTGGGGCGCTGGTGGCGCAGTGGTTAGTGCGCGTGCCCCATGTATGGAGGCTGTGGTCCTCCAAGTGGGCGGCCAAGGCTAGACTCCGACCTGGCTCCTTTCCCAAATGTCATTCCCAACTCTCTCTCTCTCCATGATTTCTGACTCTTTCCTCTGTCCTATCTCTACAATAAATGCACAAAAAGACCAAAAACACATGTAAAAAAAAAAAAAAAAAAAAAAGAAGCATTTTCCTCCTTATCACAGTGATGACGTGGGAAAATAGTTTATCAGTGGAGGTCTTGATTTAAAATCTGGAGTCCGCCCAGTCTGAGACCGAGACAAGACCGAGTAATTATGCTTTCCATTCTGAGACTGAGACCTTCAAAACGTGCTCTTGAGTATCAGGTCTAGAAATCTGTATTTTCTTCAGATAGGTAAAGGTTTAATGGGAGTGTCACCCACCTGGGGGAGGGGCCACTGCCCTTTGTGATGTCATGAAGGGAAAATTAAAGGCACAAAAAGCCCAAAAATAAATATTTGAAAAATAAAAATAATGTTTTGCATTAAATGTTAAGATGTTTTGATTATTTTCTGAAAATAGCGTTCAATGTTCGTTAGCAGCTACTTTCTTAGTAATTTCAAAATCCTTTTTTTTTTTTTTTTTTTTTTTTTTTTTAAAGGCTCTGTGCAATGATTTGTTCAGTGGATGTTCTAGTTGGGAATGTCTGAAAAATGAAGGTGACAATGGAAGTAAAAAATCTGAAACATCAAAATGATTAACACATTTTCAGAGTTTTTACGAGGGCTGTTATGTGGGATTGCACTTTTTCTAAGCGTTTGTCCGAGGTCAGGTCGAGAACCGTTTGTTTTCCAGGAATGATTAAACAAACATAAAAGGGAAAGATTTCAAATGCCCGTCAGCAGTTCACGCTTAGCCTGCTCAGTGAGGTTTGTGATGACTTGGCGCTTCTGCATTATGAAATGCACTGCCACCTTTCAACTCATTTAACTTCCTCTATTTCCTGTCTGCTGGAGGAGCTCATCATGAAATTCATGCTCATTTCCTTTTTAGGGACTCTTTGACCGACTGAGAGCCGAGATACTGTACAAGAAAGTGTCTGATCAGCGTAACTTGGAAAACTGAGTGTCTTTCTCTGGGATCCAACAGGTCAACTGACCAACAGGAAACAACTGCAGTCCCAGGCTCTGCTTTTTATATAAAGCAAACACTGCAATAAAAAACTGATTCAGCTGTCTGATTCTTCATCACACAGAGAGATAGGAAGCGAACAGGATTCCTGTTTGGAACAACGTGATATTGACCGTGCCAACATGATATGACGATGCATTTGTCAAGGTTAATTTTCAGCCTGGGACACTTAAGGAAGTTACAGTTATTTAAGTCCTATGAAGCTAATGGGTTGTTGTTGTCCTAAATGTTGGTGGCAATTCTGCAACTACTTTTATACATTCTGTTCAAAATTCATCCATAGGCTGGGTGCCGGTTTGAGAGCAGGAGGCAGTAGTCCACAAAGTGGGCGGCCGGGCTGGAACCCGACCTGTGGCTTCTTCCCCGCATGCCGTTCCCCCCTCTATTTCTCTCTGATCTCTGACTCTATCCGCTGTCCTGTCTCTCCAATAAAGGCAAAAAAGAAATCTTAAAAATTCATCCGTATAGGACACAATTTTTATGTCATCAAAAGTTTTTGACTAGCAAAAACATTTGTTTGGGTAAGTTCACAGTAAAGTTCAGCTTCAATAGTGACACCAGATTATCGACTTGCTCAGTTCAGCAGTAAAACCAGTTGGGTTTGAGTCCAGCGTTAGGTTCAGATTAGCCAACAATCATGTTCCGCAGTCTACTATTTGGTTAGCTAAAAGGTCAGAACTTCTATTAGCCATTGACCTTCCTTGTGCGCAACACCTGCTGCTAATCAGCGTCATTTAAATAAAGTTTCCCTTCCTGGGTTTACAGCGCCAGCCAGTGGTCAGCCCAATAACCAAAACACCAAAAATGGCTCCAACAATGAGAAACCAATCGATTTATCACTAGAAATCCAGTTAATAAGAAAATGTCATAAACTTTACTTTTATAGGAAAAGGCTAACTAGTTATACATTTAAACCTTTTTTAAGGTTAATCTTTGGGGCTTTTTATGCCTTTATTTAAGAGATAGTACAGTGGATAGAGTAACCCCCAATATCCACCCGCGCACTGCCCCGTAAGACCCGTTTAACGTTCCTGTCTGGGTCGTAACATTAGTACAGAGTATGTGGAAATTGGGGGTTAGAGAGAGAGAGAGTGGGGAATGACATGCAGGAAAGGAGCCACAGGTCGGATTTGAACCTGGACTACAGCCTCTGTACATGGGGTGTGCACATTCACCACTAGCCCACCGGCGCCCCTGTAACCTGTTTCTAACTGAACAATAGTATCTGTAGCTGTACATCATACAGAAATAATATATTCCGGAAACCATCACATGAAGTGACTGAATGCCTTCCACAGAAAGCTTGATAAAAGGTTGTTTCTTATGCAGCTCCGTTGGTGATATTGGTGACTTAGTTTCAATGTTCTGGATATTCTGAGTATCCACTGAAAGTCTGCTTTGATAAACATTTGGGACACAAAGACAAAAGGGAACACCAGAGGGATGTGACACTGATAGTAAATCCTTTCTCGCTTCCTCTTATCGTTCATGGCTTTCCTCGTCTGTTCTGCTGTTTTCCGGCTCAGAGTGCTGATTGGAGGGATTTGTTGGGGTTGAGACGGTCACCAGGACACGGGCACAGAGACAACCTCGACCTCTGGCACAGGCCCCTCCACCCCCCCGCCCATCCCCCTCTCTCTCTCTTCACCCCTTGATTCATGTTTTTCTTCAACTTTTTAAACAGCTCAGCAAGTGCCTGTATGTTTGTATATGTGTTGTGCATCGTTTACAGATAATGGCTATCAGGGTGACCTCCCACTATGTTATGTCTCTTTTTAAAAAGGACACTCTCAAGGTGTCAAAGATGTGTGAGCACATTTAAGGAGTTTAGATAAATATACATGATCTCCAGACTTTAAGATTAATCCTAAAAACAATCAAAAACATTTGATTCTTATTGAAATGTCTTAACAACTATTGGATGGGTTTTCATTTAATTGTTACAGGCTCTGTCATCTTGCTTTGTTGATCTCTCAACTTTTCTAACTTCCACATTATCAGGACAAAATTGAATATGCTTCAAATGCTTTAGATGCCCTGTTGAATGATTATGTTGATGCAAAAGTTTACCAGAAGATAATGGAAAGTAATGCTGCGAGGCCTCCAAACTGTGACAGCTGAAGAGCCTGTGAGCAAGGCAGTAAACCCCCAGAGTCCTGCAGCGGTCTGTTGTCGCCCTGCTTCCTGCTATTGTTCTGTCTTTTGACAGTTTAACATTTGACCCGTCTTTCCTTGGTCAGCTTTACCTCGATGTGCCTGTCACTTGTTCATCAAGTCAAAATATATTAAAACAGGAAAGAAAGTGCAGTTTTCACATTTTTTTCCTTTTTAGTTTTGAGAAGCCGACGAGGAGTTTTGCCAGCTGACCAGGAAATCCGTCCAAATCACCCAGGGCCAACTGGGACGACCAGGAGGGGAAATCCGTCCCAAACTTCCTGACAGGAAAAGAGCGACTTTTCACAATATCGCTCTCTCTCTCTCTCTCTCTCTCTTTTTTCTCTCAAAAACACCTCAGAGTTAGAAGCCTGGATGTAATAACATATCCTGCTGAAGACTTTTCTCTGCTTATCAATATGTGATATCACCGCTACTGTCTGAAAGGGTTCAAACAAGCAACAGCTCTCGACCCCCAAACTATCCCTACGAAGAGAAACAACAGCTCTTTGACAAAAAAAATCTCAGAGGAAATTCACAGATATCTCCTGTCCTTAGAAACCCTGATGAGTAGGAAGACCTCGGAGGTGGAGGAAAATGACAAAAGATAAACAGAAAGAGTGAAATGTAGTAAAAAATAGGACATGCTGTGCTCTAGCAGTCCCAACCTGAATCCAGGTTTATAATAAATGCCGAGCTATGTTAGAAGAAGTCACAACACGTAGGCTAACTTATAAAGAAACATGCACAAATTAATACTTCATAGCTCACATATGTAGCATTTTATTTATGTTGTAGTTTTTACTACAGTTTCAATTTGTTAAACTTGGGTTATTTAAAGTGACAGTACCGAACATGAAGAAATCAATGTAAAAAAAACACATTGAGTGTGTTTACATGCACACAGAGAAACCTGGTTATTATCCTTGTATGCATGACAAATACTAATATCCTTCTGGCTGATTATTGCATCCAGCGGCGATTCTAGAGTCTGTTGGGGCCCTCCAACCAGCGTTCATCACCATTTTGTCTGCATGTGTCCTGACGCTTACAGGTTCAGGTTCAGGTTATTTTATTTGTACCCTTAGGTAAATTTGGTTGCAGGGAGAGTCACTTCATACAACACAGACAATACATAAAACATACAAAGTGCAAATGCACTGAACATGGGTAAAAGTACTGAGGTGCAAAATGTGCGCCGGTCCCAATCGTAAAATTGATAAAACAAGTTGATCTGTAAAATTTACTCCTGTTCCTGTTTCTTATTTCTCTCCTCCGGCTCATTCCTCTCCATTTTCTTTGTTGACTTTCATTGACAATCTTTGTTTTTCTCAGGAATAATTCATGCAACTCTTAGCAGGGCAAAGGGAGTGAGTGCTGTCAGATGGGGGGCCCCCTGAGGGAGTTGTCCTACTGTCATTGCACATTTTGGGCCGCAGCTTTGGTTGAAGATTTGCCAGCCCTCAGGGGCCCCCCTATTGGTCTGGGGCCCCAAGCAGTTGTCTGCCTTGCCTGTTGACAAGCAGCGCCTCTGATGCTCTGTTAGTTTTTACAAACCAACTGCGTCTTTTAAGACCCGTTAAGAAAAATAAAAACTAAATAGAAAGGAAGTCGCTGACTGACACAGATTGGACACGTCTTTATGCAAAGGAACATTATAATTTTCTGCTATTTTCTGCTTTTTTCTGCATGTATAACTTTTGTATGAAAAGCAATATTACATTCGAGGTGGAGATGTTGTTCTGGATATCAACACTCAGGCCGAAGATAATCACAGGGGGAGTTGTTGTTCATCACTCCCCCTTGAGTAATATTGCTCAGTTAAGAAAACATACATGTCAGGCTTTAAATAAGCATTCAATTTGGATCTTAGTATAAAAACAGCCGTGCACATGTAGTCTGAGCCCAAGTTTCCAACCTTTTTTGCCTTGTTGCTGTTTAAAATCAAACACTTTGTCACAGTTTACATATTTCCGTAAGTTGTGAGAAGCTCTAAATTCTGGGGGAGTTAAACTATTTCACATGAAAAGGGCACACAATTGATAAGAGGTCTGAGAAATTGGAGTGCCTGAAATTCTTTCGTTGTTATTAATTATCTCATGAATGTTTGCTATTCCCCTGCTTGAAGCAAATTCTGTGCAAGTGCCGTCAGACATATCACAGGGTCCAGTTCCCTCTACCGTGGTTAAAACATGACAGTGTCCTCCGCAGTGACCTTACAGAGGAGAAATGTAGAAGCAGTGCCCTCTGCCCTTAAAGTTGATAAACCCACAGACATCCTGAGTCCATCCAACTTAAGAAAACGTTTCTGTTACACCTTGCACTTTTGTTGTGCCACTAGTACTGCTTCTGTTACTATACCAGGGTAGCTGCAGGAGGAGGTGACCTCTGATGGGAGGTTCTTACTGTGCCCATTTCTGTTTTTTTACTCTCTTCCTAGATTAGAGAGGAAAAGACGTGACGCCTGTAGTTGCTCCAGCCTCTCTGGCTGCTCTGTGCCTCGCGGGACACTGATCTTAGAGTTAATTTGTTAGCGTTAATCTGTTTTTTTAGCACCTATGTTAGAGGGATTTCTGCCCTAATGCTGAAAATGAGTAAAAAATAGTGCTGCTGATACCAAACTCTGCTGGAATCCACTCTTTACTTTTTTTAACTGAAGTACATTTTAGTTTCCAGGTTTTTTGTTTCTCTTGACAACGAGTTGCTTTCAGTTTTTTATTTAAGTATTATCGCTGGATAACATATCTATTGTTCTTTAATGGTTTTGTCTTTCCTGCACAGAGGATGTTGTGATCTGGGTGTTTTTCCTGTTTTTAAAGAGCAGGTTTTTTTTTTTTTTTTTTTTTTAAGTTGTATCTGGATGTTAGAAAGCTAGACAGCTGATGCGAAGATCCAACAATCCTTTCTTTCATCATCTACGTTTTCTTCTACTAACTGAGGAGAGCTCTGGGTTGGTGGATTTATTCCCCCCCCCCCTCCTGGATGTGACAGCCATGCTGCTGCTCCTGCTGCTGCTCTGCCTGCAAACATCACTGACAGAACAGGTAACACACCTCAAACTTTACTCTCTGTCAGGACACTCTTTGTTTTTCATCCTCAGCTTTATGGCTTTCTCTTGAAGAGAGGCGCAACAGACATTGGTATTTATATATCTTTAAGGCTCTTATTGGAAAAGTTCCACCTTACATCACAGACCTGTTGGAGTGGAATACGGGTGCCTACATGACCCGTTCTTCTTATTGGCTCGTTCTAAAAGCTTTTACTGAACTTCGTAAATCTGCATTTTCTTTTGATTCCCCAAATTCATGGAACGCCCTCCAGCAAACTCTAAGGATCGGTGTTCTTCCCTCTCTTCCAGAGTTTAGGAATTTGATTTCGAACAACTTTGTTTCAAATTGTAACTGTTTTAAATTATCTCAGTGGTTTTTGTCACAGATTCCAAGCGTTTGATGTGTTTTTGCTTGTTTTACTGTGCTTGTAATCTCTACGGCATTGGAAATGAGAGAAACCTCAGTGTCTTTTCGAGAATAAAATAAAGGTTTGAAATTAAATTAAATTAAATAGTTTAGCTGGAGGGTGCTGAAATTGTGGCCTTTGGTCCTTTATAAATGGAAATATTTGGATAATGTTGGCACAGTCAAAGCTTTTTGCAACAAGTGAAAGTCTACTTGAATTGCTGTTTTTAGTACAACTCAGTGGTATCGTAAAGGTCAGGTTTAGTCTTACAGAACATTTAGGGGACTCACAAGGTGCAGATGAATAAAACAACAGTAAAAATTAAATCTGCAGTGGCTGAGAAATGCTGATCTTAACTGACTTTAATGGATTTAACCAAAAACATTAGCAATAGCAAACTAGTACACAGTGGTGTACCTACTGTACTGTGGGGGGGGGGGGGGGGGGGGGGGGATCCAAAGGCAGCTGGACTGGTTGAAGATCTAGGACGGAGCTAGACATTTCCACCTGTTAGAAACGTCTTACAGATCTTCAACCAGTCCAACTATCTCTGGATCAAGCTACAAGCTATTGTTTTTATGTTATAAAGGTGGTATATACCTTGTTTCTAGTCAGCCTGTTGACATGCTCATTTCTCTAACAAATTAGCAAAACAACAACAACAGTGACAGAAGTACTGCTGAAGGAGATTCAGAGTTGAATATCTTAACTGTTGGTGACAGCGTTACAAAGACGAGGACACACATAAAGCAGAGAGGCGTATCAGTAACAAGGGTTGACTTGTGGAACAGCTGTGACAATGAATTAAAATTGTGGTTCACTTTATACCTACATAAGTTCCAGAATCAGATGGCAAACTCGTCGTTTACTTTTTGTTTCACAGATCAGATCAAATCATCAATACCTACACAAATAATTAAATACAATCATTGCAGAGTCAGATTTACTCAATAAATTCATAATATAGTTTTTGTTTTCAAATGTTTGGGCTTCATCTTTAGTTGATTGGACAGTGATAGAGTAGGAAATCTGTGTGAGAGAGGGAGAGAGAGAGAGAGTGGGGAATGACATGCGGGGAAAAAGGAGCCACAGGTCAGACTTTAACCAGGGTCGCTCGCTTTGTGGACTATGAATGAATGAATGAATGAAATCTTTATTGACCCTAAAGGGGAATTTGCCTCTCCCCGAGAGAATAAACACAACATAAGGCAAAAGACATCAATTAATTTCATCAACATAATTTCTTTTAAATACATAATTAAAGCATCACATGACTAAGAGGGATTTCAATAGTAAGTTCAATAAAATGCAGAGTATCATGTTGATACTGTAAAGTCAGAGCTTATAAAGCAGCTGAATGCTCAGTGACGCCTTTTTAGTCCTCATCCTGGCCTATAACCTCCGTACATGGGGCACAACCTAACCGCCAGGCCATCTGCACCCCAGTTGGGATAGATTCTCCACGTGTGGCTGAGGCTCAGTTGGTAGAGTCGGTCGTCTCCTAAGATGAGAGTTGGGGGTTTGATCCCCAGCTCCTGCAGCCACATGTCCGATGTGTCCTTGGGCAACACACTTAACCCCAAGTTGCTCCTGCTGCTTCATCAGAATGGGATTAGTTATTTCTGATGGTCACTTTACATAGCAGCCTCTGATATCAATGTGTGAATGTGTAGGTGTGACCTGCGTTGTAAAAGAGCTTTTTTCTGTCATTATGCTTGGGCCGTGTTTAACCTGCATTGTCTGTCCATTCTTTTGCATTTTACTATAAAAGAGATGAATGACGGATTTCCTCATTCCTCAAAAGAGATGTCTTCCCCTTTTATTCAGATGTTTTTAAGTTTCAAAACTTACTGTCAAATTGGGGCGCGCATGTGTTGAGACTCTCGTCTCGAGCGGTAGGCCCGGGTTCGCTTCCACCCGTGGCCCCTTTCCACATGTCATTCCCCGCTCTCTCTCCCTGGTTTCCAACTCTAGCCACTGTCCTCTCTCTGTATTAAAGGCACGAAAAGCCCAAAATAAATCTTTAAAAAAAAAAAAAATTTTAAACTTACTGTCAAATTTAATCAGAAGTGAGAGCTGTGATTCAGCTGGTGTTCAGCCGTGTTGACATAACACCAGTCGACTCATAATTAAACCACAGATCACAAAGATCAGAGTGAAACTGATTCTCTCTTTGCCAGTATGTTCTTCTCCAATTTTTTACTGATACAGTAAATATGCTGAACGGCATAGAGGCAAAAACTGTCATCATAGCGTCAGACTCTGTAGTTACATCGTCCATTTCCCCGTCCCCTCTCCCCAAGATTTCAGGGGAAACCTGCCTAAAGTTTTTTAGTGGTTATAAAGGAACTGGAACTTTAACTATCAGAGAAATGTTGAGATAACTTATTGATTTATTAACCATACAGTCACACATCTCCTCAGGTCCGTCTGACTGCTCCTGCTGGTCGCTGTGATATCCCAGTGAGGATAGATGTCTACACCTCATGCACCTCCTGTGCCGCCGTCACCACCAGCAGCTGCCCGCAAGGCTTCAGCAGTATGAGCACCACTAACTGCAGGTATAGGAACCACGTTCATCACAATACTGACACCCACACAAAAACCATCATGATTGTGTCATAAATGTATTAACAGAAGGTTTGTGGGTGAATTTGTGTTGTCTGATGAATGAAGCAGTTTTTTTTTCTCACTTCATGTTTGTTGTTTGTTACAGTTATGTGGTACAGATTGGCGGCAGGGACATGGAGCTGGATGGATGTTCACGTCAATGTGCCAAGACTTTCATGCAACCAATGTGTTGTCAAAATCACTGGGGACCACTGTGTCTACGTAAGACACACACACACACACACACACACACACACACACACACACACACACACACACACACACACACACACACACACATACACACACACAGATACTGAGATTGCTTTCATGTTGAGGCTGTGAACGACCAAATGTTTATTTTCCCCTGTATGTTGTCACATTTCCATTTAGGACAAGAACTAAGTGATAAAAATCTACCTACTAGTAGATAGCTAGCTTTTTATCAATCAGTTTGGGACATTACTAGCTTGTTTTAACGTCCTCTAGCATGCTAACATCTAACATTCAGTTCTCTTTTACAAAAATAATAAGTATTAAAACCAAATTAATAAATGCTTTCCATTTGGTGTTGACAAACTGTTAAGACCGTGTACAGCTTTGATTAAGCTACATTGAACTGTTTTGTCTTTTACATTTTTGATTCAAATTATTTACTCAGTATCGGTAGTGAGTGGCATCTTACAGCAACAATATATATATATATATACATACATACATATATATATATATATATATATATATCTCAAGCTAGTAACGTCTCTGTGCCAGAGATTAGATGTGGGTTTACCAAGCGGCAACCACCGGTGTTGAAAATGAAGCCAATGCGGAAGAGCAAAATCCTGCAGCTCTTCGAGTGTCCGCTTGAGGCTGACTCCAAGAGCACCGGAAATCACGTACACAACCCCATTCAAAAATTCCAGTTTTTACTGCAGAAATTAACATGTTTACAGCCTGGTACAAAAAACGTCTTCTTAGTTATTGTCGTCATGGGCACACACTGTACGGCGTATTTTTTCTATTTGTATTCTATTTAGATTTTATGAACCAAGGGGTTTTGTATAGTTAGGCACGTGTCTGACCTGACCTTGATTTTGGTTAGTATATAAATGCGTCTTGGATAAATCTTTGAATGTGTTCTTATCAGTCGTGACTAAACAATTCCTCAATCTATCTGCAGCCTTTTCTTGTATTCTCCTTCTCACTCTTACATCTGGCCTCTACCTCTAACTGATCAATAACACAAACGACGACCTTGACACTTCAACCTGCAAGCTAGCTGATATGGCACTGTCACCCTAAACAGTAGCAATATGCACTCAGCTCTTCACCTCTTTGTCTGTTTTTCTGTGTGTTTGTAGCCTGTCCCAGCTGGTCAGGGAAGACCTGCAACTTTCATGGAACCTGTCTGGGTCCAGACCTTGGCAACGGGACCTGCGTCTGTGATGTACGTATCTGACTGGCCTGTCTGAGCACACTATCCCTCCTGTTTGCAAACAAATTCAGAGATCAATATTTTTTATGCATTTATAGGAGCCTCTCAGTGTCAGCCTGCATGTCTGACAGGACTTTTGGAAGTCTTTGTTTGCATGTTGTAACTGTTACTTTATTTCTATCTTTAGGATGGCTTCGCAGGTTTTGCCTGTCAGGAGTGCATGAATTCAAATGCTTTTGGAGAAAACTGTGATAAAGGTAGGCTCCTTACTTCCTCAAGACCCTGGTTTAAATATGTTCCCGTGTAGGAGTCTTAATCATTGACAGTATATAAAGATGGAAGATGTATCCACTTCTTTCTGTTATACAAAAGTGAAGCCAAAATACCCCCCTTCAATAGCTGACTTATTGGAGTAATGGTATGCCCAGTAGAGAACTACTGGTGAAGCCAGTGTGTGAAGGTCCCCTCCTGCTAACCAAAGCAAGCATTTAACTCACTAATAATGCTTAAAAACTGCTCGGGTCGGATACAGTCCACAGAACAGAATTTTTTGTTGATTGAAAGGAGACACATTTATAGGAAGTACAATGACTGTTTTGCTCATGTTTGTTGTGTTTCCTCTAGTTGCTCTCAGCTGTACAGATTAACACTGCAAGAGCTGCATTTATCTACAGAGCTGTCAATCATGGCGTTATGCCTCTTTTTATAGCATTATAGCGTTATGCCTCTTTTATAGCATCAATTAACTTATTAAAGCTAAAGTTGTTACTGAAGCCAGTGTAAAGGGGAAGCGCCACGTGTCTTAGGCTTGACTTTAGGTGTGCTGTATTGTCGTCCATCTTTTTATGTAGTCTGTGATCTGAATCAAAAATGGCCAAATTCCAAAATAACTTAATATTGTAAGACCGCTGTGAGTTTAACAGACGCTGGATCGTCCATCAGTTGTTTAAAGGCCCTCCATGTTTGTCTCTACAGAGTGTGACTGTGTGCATGGAGTGTGTAATAAAGGTCCAGATGGTGATGGACAGTGTTTGTGTCAGCCACCGTACACTGGGAAGCGCTGTGACGTTGGTAAGGTCATGAATCACTGGATTTTCATTTAATTGAAAGTACATTCGGCTACATCAGGCAATTTATTGAAACGAAAAAAACATAATTTAATTTCTTTCCCCCTAAAAATATTACTCACCTTTCAAGAAAAACATAATATGCTGAAAGTAGTAGGTAGTCATGAAAAGATTAGACATCCTTTTAGAAATATTGAGTAACATGTGGTTTGACTGACATCATTATGAGAAATGTTTTATCTGTATCTTAACCTAGAAGAGCACTATCTTTTTCTCATATCTTACTGATTTTAAAGTGTCCTGTTTTGATTCTACTTTCATGTAAACGGCTAGATAAAAGTATATTTTGAAAAATGCAGAGAACGACTAATAAGCATTCCTCCAGTTAATGTTTAGATAAGTAAAACTGTAAAACTGGCCCGATTGAGCGAGGAAAGAAAGTGAAAAGTGATAAAAACTAGAAACAATTTTGTCAGACGGCCTACCAGAAAACTATTGTTATTTTTTACCCTGCTGCGTTTTTGTTATATAGGTGCCAAAAACAAACAAACAGGTGATGCTTTGCTTGTATTGTTTTCACTGTTTGTATGTATGATGTGTAAGTTGTATCACTGTGAGCTGCTGTTTTCTGCTTGTTGTTGGCAGTGAGTAACAGGTGCAGTAGCTGCAGCCCCTTCTCGTACTGTAAAGGAGAGGGAGAGGACGCCGTCTGTGAATGTTTGCCCGGACACAGAAGGTCGCCACAGGGAAAATGCATAAGTAAACACAAAGACAGATGGTCTCCTTCGATTTTTCTTTTTTATTTAATATCAAAATGTAACTCTTAAGTTGTTTTAATTCAGGGCTTCTGGTTCATCTCTCTGATTTGTGTCCTCTTGCTAATATTAGCAATTGGCTCTAAGCAGATATAAGGCTGACATTGATTTTTTAGTGTGATGTATGTGAGGACAAGTCGGACAGAATAAAGCTGAAATTAGCTGTCTAAAAGATCCTGAACAGGCTTTTGTACACTGGATGAATTCTTGACAGTGTATATAGCAATATGACCTTTCCTCTGAAGCCACCTCCAGGATAAAATTGACGTGTTTTTCCGAATTTACTTAAACTTACAAACGGTTCACATCCATTTAAGGTTTGATATATTCTTGTCAGAGTCTCTTCGTCTGCAGTAGTTAAATTGCTCTGGACTGGAGAAGTTTTTTAAATGAAGTGTACAGTCTCAGATGGATGTTAGTGAATCTTAAGATGTTCATGTCAATGTTGACAGAAGCCTATAAACAGGGTCCTGAAACATGTGTTGTTCACACTACTTATTTCTGGATGTAAATAAGATCTACTTTTAGAATCTACACAATGACCAGAACCATAACTAGGACAAGGTTTCCCTTCCTTGGCTCTATGGAACTGGAACTAGGCTTGAACCTGATCTTAGCCCCCCTCCAAGTGGAACATACAAAAAGGCTTCTTATTGCGGTTTAGATACAGAATTAGATCTTGGACAAAGAATAAGATTAGATAAGAAGTCAGAAGTTGACCTTGACCTAGTCTTGTGTCTCTTCCTTAAACCCAGATTGTGTTTGTGTTGAGTTTTAGAATAAACAAATTGATGGGTCTTATCTAGACTGAGTGAGTTCTTTATTTTCCTGCTCAGCTGTTTGCGCAGCGAAGGACTGTGACGTCAATGCCCAGTGCTCTGCACAGGGTTCGAAAGTCAGCTGTGCCTGTAAGCCTGACTACCAGGGAGACGGAAAGATCTGCGTACCAAAAAACCCCTGTTCTGAAAACAATGGAGGATGTCCCATCAACTCCACCATATGTGTCTTCAAAGGACCAAACAAGGTTAGAACACCACCAGAACTAGGCCAAGAACCAGGTGCATAACAAGACTGCAATAATCAGCTAGACCCTGTACCTGTCTTAATCCTCTCTCTGTCTGTCTGTCTGTCTGTCTGACAGTCCAGCTGCGAGTGCATGTCTGGCATGTCCCCAATAGGTGGCAGTGCTGAGTTTGGTTGTCAGCTGGTCTCTGCTTGCTTAGAACACACCTGTGACCTCTCAGCTATCTGTGAAACTGGACTGGATGGACAACCCAGGTGACCCAGCTGTCTCTTCTTATGCTACATGTTATTGGATGTTTTCACACTATGAGCAAATGAGTGGAAGGGAACAGGAGGAGATCAGCTTCATTACGTGCATGAATGTCATACCTGAACCCAACGGTTGTGTGATATTAAATCTTATTATCCCACCCGCTTGCTCAAGCTGAAAATTTCCTGAATATTTCTGTTGCATTAACAAATGAACTCCTCCCAACTTCATGTGGACCTTTAACTAGACAGGCTTGGATGAAATCAGGGTGAAAAATGTGCCCTATTAGGTAACACATGCAGCTCACCTCGTAAGAGTTTGTGCATGCTCGAAAACACCAACACGTCTTTTTTCTTTTTTAACTTTGCTCTCATTAACTAGAACTAGACCGACTTGTCTCTTAACTGGATCCCGTAGCTCATGCAGCCACATGTCCGATGTGTCTTTGGGCAAGACACTTAACCCCAAATTGCTCTCGCTGCTTCATTGTCCCAAACGTGAATGTGTATGAATGGGACTAGTTACTACTGATGGAAACTTTACACAGCAGCCTCTACCATCTGTGTGTGAATGTGTAGGTGTGACCTGCGGTAAAAAAAGCGCTTTCCCATTTATTTTGAACTCATTATTTGTATTTGTCAGTGTTGTGTTTTATGGTGTCGTTATTTACCTCCTCTTTCAGGTGTGTGTGTGATGCAGGTCAGATTGGTGATGGTCAGCGTTGCTATGGTAACCTTATAGAGCGGCTGATAGAGTTGGATAGGAGAGGAAGCCAGACGGGAAATCTGACCGGAGCTGTTGCCTTGTTTGGTAAAAAAAAACAAAAAAACACATTCAATAAATTTTTCGTCACTAACCTGCGTTATTCTTCAGAGGTACGAATCACTTGCTTGAAATACATTATTCAATGTAACATTATATTCAATTAAACTTTTCAGACTTTCGAAATTCACTTTTTCTTTCTGAGTTCTATTCACAAGAGCACATTTGGCCATGTTTTAGTCTTTACTACTTTTTGTTGTTTTTGTGTGTTTGATCTGTGCGCTGACCTTTGTTGTGTCCATGTCCGTTTGTCTGTTTGTTTCAGAGAAAGGCTGTTTACGGCTGATGAGTCATACCGGACCCTTCACAGCTTTCATCCCTTTACTGAGAGCACCTCTCACTGTAAGTCACCTGTCATGTAGCTGTAGTTTGATTTAATGATCTCATCAGTAACACTCCCAGATATCATTTTATTTAAGACTAATAAGACACGTGTTAACTTTGATAAATCAGTATTTTAGTGAATGGGTGAACTATTTCAGAGCAGAAAGAAAACGTGTCCCAAACTGATCCGGTGTGTGAACCTGTTTTAAACTGTTTAACATCGTTTCAGGTTTCTACATAGTGTAATATTTAAGGTCTGATTCCAGCATGTAGAGCTTTGTGAAGCTCTGTGAAATCAATTTTATCAATAAATGCTATTCATGGAAAATCTGGATTTTCAAAAAGGAAGATATAGATTTTCTCTTTAACTTCATCCGTTGCTCCCTTTGAGAGCATAGTGTGGCCCCAGGTATGAGTCACAAAACCTCAACTATTTTGCTGAAGTTGCTCTGCCGCATCTCAATCAATCATTATTTGTGAAACGCCAATTCATAACAAATGTTACCTCGAGTCGCTTTACAAAAGAGCTTGCAAAAGACCTTACTCATTGTTAAGAGCAATGGGTTAGGGGGAGATGGGATAATATGCAGGAAGGATTTCTCCTTTGTATTCCTCGCGTTCCTGTTGTCCACACTTCCTTGCCGCTGAGGTGGAGGTGCAAGCAGTGCATGAATGAGGACGTCGGGTGGTAGAGCTCGAGAGTACGGCCGGTCTTACTGTTTTAGGTGTCATTTCCAAACAATGTCTGTCCATCAAGCCGCTCTTTCTCAACTCTTTGGACATCCAGCTGCATTTCACCTCTGATTCCTCACCTCAGCTGCTTTCCTTTAAAAATAACTGACATTCTGCAGCTCTCGGATCATCACACACAATGAAACAGCAGCAGTAGATAAAGAAAAGATCTCAGGACGATAACATGCAGTGCACTCCTCTGTTTCTACCTTTTAAATCACACAACCACACGCTCTGCTCGACCTGAAAACAGAAACACTTAGTGACAGATGGTCAGTGCAAGCTAGAACAAACCAGAGTGCGAGGCCTCTGGGCACGCACACAAACACGGAAATACCCACCATGCCATCAGAGGTAACCACTGACAAAGGAGATGTGTGACTTTTATGGGTATAAGGCAAAACTCAAAATGCGGAATTAAAACGGGACCCGTGTCCACTAATGCTATTTTTTGCAGTGTCCATTTTCTTGCATTATCATCGCCCAGAGCGTAAAAAAATACGCCCACAATAGCCTTATTTCAAGTCTTGATGTTTCACCATGTTTAATCTGAGTGTCACAGAGGCGTAATGTGGGGATGAAGTGAGCCTCCCCTGTACCGGCTTCAGAGGTAGTAACAGAGGCGAGACGGGATCAGCTGAGCCAGCGGAGAGCGCAGTGTTGTGTGCACGTCCATGTTTGATTATGTGTGTATGTGGAGCTCCCGCAGTGCCGTGCTTACACAACTCTGAAACACAATCTGATTTATTTTCCTTTGATTGATTCCTTTCAGTCATAGTTTTCAGATTTCTGTCATTTCCCTGTTTTGGCTTTTATATCCAGATATCAGAAATGAGAAGACAAAGTTAAACTCTCAGAGCGATAACTCAGGGCTGACTGTCACTTCTGATTCCTTATTTCCAACATCTATTATAAAGAAAATAACCACTACTTATCTAGAATATGAATGTACACAACGTTCTTGTTGCAGGGTGTTAACGAGGAGCAGATGTGTAAAAACCACCTGATCCTGGGTCAGCACCTCTACAAGGATCTGGAGGGACGAGACTTCAACTTGTATGGAGGAGCCAGGTTCAGGAGCAAAGGCAACAAGGTTATACTTCCTCTTCTTACTCAACACTCAATATCTCTGTTAACAACAATTCAAAGTAGGTGATGATGTCAAAAGTAATGTTTTAGTCATGACCACATTAACCGAGACCAAGACATGCCCGAGACCAGACCAAGACATTTAGGGATCGAGAATGATTCAAGACCATAAATATCTCTGATAAATCAACATCTTGTGTGCAGCAGGGGCGTGTCACTCTTAGACCGTCACAGGTTTGCAGTCATTACCGGGGGATTACTCGGGGTTAAAATCAAACTACAAATGAATTGAAGATAATTGTTCTTGGGCGTTTTCCTTCTAATCTCAGTAATGACGTAAAAAAAAGAGTGAGGCAGTGCCAGCTGTGAGTCTGAATATTTTCACCTCATGAGGACTTTACCATCAGCAAACTGTCTTGAACCTTGAAGATAAGTACAAGGATAAAAGCCAAAGACAAGACAAACGATCCTTTAACCTACTTTTTATTGGTACCACAACCAGAGAAGTACAAGCAAAAAAGAAAAAAACACAACAAAATTATATTTCTGCTACAAAAATGAATTAGTTTTGTTCATTTATACTCCTAATCTAGTTTTTTAAGCCAACACCACCCTTCTGCCTGCTCTCTCAAATGAACCTCTTTCTATTTTATTGATATTTCAGCAACATCTTGCAGCATTTTAATCTGTCTGCTTAAAAATAGATTTCTTCATTCAGAGAGTTCTAAGTAAAAAAAATAAATAACTCTGCATCCCTAAAACATCACCCCTCCCCATCAACACAATCACCACAACTACTAGAAAGCACTATACAAACTATACAATAAAAATAGATCATCATTAAACATTCACAGGTCCATTTAATCAAAGTATTACATCAGTTATTTCTTCAAGACTTCTTGAAGAAAATGTGTCCACAGCTATGAAATCTCACAGTTTATCTCCCCAGAGTCACAATCATGTTAAAATAAAAATCACAAACCCTGTTCACCACATTGTTTTGTAAATGTTACGCTCCCACATAAGGAACCACAAATGCCATGATAACTAAACACATACATAACAACAAAAATCATTCTAACTCAGCTGAACTGCAAAAAAAAGACTCCATTATTGTTCTTTTTGGCACAGATATCCAGTAGAGATTTGTGCTGCAGTAGCTCACTATCCTTTCATTCAACATCTATAATATATAAACAGCGTGGAACAGTAAAAGCCTTTAACAACCTTTCCAATATAACCTATCACCCTCTAATTTTTTATGGATCAGTAGTTTATGTGACTTGAGGAACCACCACACACAACAAACTGTAAAAATAGAATCAGAATACTCCAACATATTTATGGAATAATACTTTAAATCTAACATTTTATTAAACAGCCCTATATTCAGCCGAGCAATTAATATAGCAAGCAAAAAATCTGTTTAAAGACTGTTTACCAATTTTCTCTGGTTTTCATATTTTTCCCTTTAAATTTCCCACCTTCACGGATAACTTGACTGGAAAAATCATCAGCGGAACCTGATTTTCAGTGTAAATGTACGGGAACAGGGTGTATGTGAAGGTGTGTGTGAAGGTGTGTATAAGTGTGTCAGTATCAACATCGGAGAACTCCAGTTTGCCCTCATCAAAGTCCAGATGAACTCTGATCTTCTGAAGCTGCTTCTCCACTGGCAGATCTTTCTCTGAACCCACCGTGGAGAATGCTGTGTATTTACCGTCTGAGAACATGATTCTCCACAATACAGACAGAAGGCGTCCGCTCTTCTGGGGGTGCTCTCCCAAAACTCCCAGTTCCCAGTCCCTGTTGGCTCCAACCGCCACCTCCCAGCAGTGAGTCCCTGAGTTAAAGCCTTCAGAGCCCAGGACGGAGCAGGAGAACTTGGTCCTTTCAAGGTTCTTTGGAAGCTGTCCCCGCCCTCCATGTCTCACGCTGGTCAGATCTTCAGACAGGACGAGTTCATGGTCGGCAGTGTTTGGATCCAGAATCACAGGAGTGTATGTGATGATCTCCTTCATCTTGTTCCAGATGTTGAAGGTCAGGTTGCCCAGATGTTTGACCTCATCTAGCAGAGCTCCTGAGACCAGCTCTGGGTCATCCAGCAGGGGGCGCTGTTGGATTCTTTTCAGTGCAGCCTTGTAGTTCTTCAGGAATGAGATGTCATCAGCTCTCAGCTCGACCTCTGTGGTTCTGATTGTGTTTGAAAGAGCTGCTATCTCTCTGTTCAGAGCCTCGATCTTCTCCTTCATCTTCTGACTCTTCTGTTTCTCTTCCTCCCTCAGAGCAGAGATCCTGACCTCCTCTTCCTTTCGTAAAAAGTCGTGAAGCTTCTTAAACTGCTCTTTAATCCGCTTCTCAGTATTTTGTGTCTGGACCTTAATATGATCTGCTGTTTGATTACAGTTACATTTAGCTTCTTTAAAGATCTCCAGTCTCTCCTGTAAAGGCTTCAGGACTTTTTGGAGCGCCTCTTTTTGATCTGCCGCAGCTTCATCAATTGGTCTGAATTTGTGGCTGTTGTGCATCTTGGAATCACGACAGACGACACACACTGGCTGCTGATGGTCCAGACAGAAGAGCTTGAGTTTCTCTGAATGCAGACTGCAGAGGGCCTCAGACTCTGCTGGCGCTTGCTGTGCTAAGAGGGCCTCACACAGGTTCTTCAACACCAAGTTCCGAGGCGGGTCACTCTTAGAGGATCTAATCTTACAACACGGACACTCACGTGATCCTTTCATCCGCCACCATCTCTGCAGACAGTCCTTACAGAAGCTGTGGCTGCATGACAAAACAACAGGATCACTGAAGATCTCATGGCAGACTGGACAGGAGTAATCGTCCACTGATCTCGATGCCATTTTGTGTCCGAGTGAAGATTTAAAAGAAAAAAAAGAAACACAGCAAGCAGACAAGAAAGTCAGTCAGACTAGAAAGTTCTGTCAAAGTTACTTTCACTTTCAGGTGTCGCTCCTTCAGTTAGTTTTGTGCGAGCTGCAGCAGGTTGAAGTACGAGTGTTCGGTATGCCAGTAAATCCAGTGTTCCCTCCTGCAGCTCTCTCCTCTCAGTGGATGTTTTGTTGTTGTTTTGGCGGTTTTGGTTGTTTTGTCGTCAGCGTTTCTGTTCTATTCTCACAGGATGCCTACTCCGATGAACGAGGAAGAATGTCTTTCCTGTTTATCTGCATTGAGTCAGAGAGGGGGTGGAGCTTTGTCAGAGCATATTTCCTGAATGATTAACTCTTGTTTATTATACTGGGTGTGTGTTGCAGCCATTTAACCCACACCGCCTAGTTTCTTGTGTGTGTTAATTCAGTCAATGAAGGAAACTGTTATGACAATAAAAATGTCCATATCAGTTGATATCTTATCTGATACCATAAATGTCAGATCTCAGGCTGATTTTTGCGCCTGAGTGAAAGTTGAAGATGGTTAATTGTGGTTGAATTATTCTTTAATGTCAGAACATCTCTCTGTTTACTGTAGAAGTTCATCCTGATGGAAGAGCCCAGCAAACTGTACACCATCATCCAGGAAGACCTGCCAGCAGCCAACGGGATTATCCACATCATCGACCGACCAATCACTAACAGTCCTGAAAGGCCCTCTCGTGATGAACGGGTGAGTTAACGGGTCACTCAAGAAAAACACAGAAAACTCTTTCAAAATACAAAAACAACAAAAATGTGTCTCTGAAATGCTCTTCATGTCTTGTTAGACTTTTGTTTTGAAAAACAGAGTGTTCTAACTCTAAATACTTACCTCAGCTGATTTTACCATCAAGGACAGAGAATTTCAGTCATTTGATCGACCTCTTCTTGTGTCCAGTTTTCTGACAAGACGATCGGAGAGATTCTAACCAAGGATGAAAAATACAACCGCTTCCTGTCCCTTGTTGATGTGAGTATGTTGTTATTTCATATGACACCCCATAGATATTATTCTTTGTATACCCACACCCAAAGACAATTAGTCAAACCAAGACAGACACTTAGCCCCTCTCCTGAACAGGGGTCATCCAATCAGTGTTTAGTAACCTTAACTATAAACAGCAGGTCTCTTTTATTTATCCAGTTTTTGAAGAGTCAATCAGTCATAGCAAAAGCAACTAAAGGGAGACGAGGCCAAACCAGTTCTAAATAAGTATCCATGCTAAACCCTTAGATGTGTTTGTTTGTTTTGCAGAACTGTGGGTCTCCTCCTCCACTGCGGGGTCCAGGACCCCTGACTGTGTTTATCCCCACTAATCAGGCGGTGGATAGAGCCCGAGACGGCAGCATCTTGTACATGCTGCACGACGTAAGTGTAATCAGTGCTTCTGTGGTTATATGTATTTTGGCTATTTGTGATTGGTGCAGATAACATTCAGGTGACAGTGAAGGATTTGTAAGCTGATGGCTTTCTTTTTTATCAATAAATCAAGTGGAGCGGGAAATAAAAAAGCACCACACTGTCCCTTCAAGAAACATGCTATGTTGAAGTGCTGGCTTCTCTGCAGCAGCCAGTATGTCTTCCTTCTAACTTTAGATTCTGGTCCTGAATGCTCTGGATTTGTTTGGACCAGAGAAGGTAGGCGGTTTTAAGGCACCTCCACACGGCCGTTTTGGACGCCCCTCGGTTTGCTAGATATGAGAGCAGTTATCAGGTCAAACCAACAGGTGTTGCAGCGATGGAGAACTGGTTCAGATAGAAGTGATTGTACCCGACCTTAAAAAGCCTCTGCATGTTTCTAATAAGCTCCACGAGCAGAAACGTGCTCAAACTAGGATCAATATTGGAGATGATTTTGAAAAATGGAGAGAGGTTAGAACACAGAAAGGTTTACAGACCGATGCAGAGCTGGCTAAACACTGAAGCTTCAGTGTTCACCACATGGTAACCTGCGTGAGCATCGACTCTAGAGAGGAGGGGGCGGGGGGAGACAGCTCTCTACAATGTTTTAAATTTAGACTGCAGTACCCATTTTAAACACTAGGCATACATACTGCTCCTTTAACATTATGCTTTGTGGGATATGTTTCTTCTAATCATGTTTTTCTTTTTCAAGGCCAAACATAAACTTCAGGAACTTCTTAGACACCATGTTTTCACCCAGGCTGTGGTAAGACACCTGAACTCCACACTACCTCCATTAAATCATCCTTCTACCTGTCCTCCTCTGCTACTTCTTTCCTTTTCATTTTTGTGTTCCGTTTGTAAAGAAGGTGAAATAAAAAAGGACCTTCCTATCTTATCAAAACTTTGGCTCACTGAAGAATAGCTCATTCTAACAGGCTACTTTTACCTGCATTGAGCTTAGAGGTCTTATTGTTGTGATATTCATTTGTCAGTTTTTATTACACCAGAATCAAATTTGAACTTAAACATTGAAGTTATCTTTTTTTTTCTTTTTTTTTTTATGTGTGTAGCTGTCAGTCGACGAGTTGGCTGCTCTCCCTCAGATTCAGACGATGGCCAATCAGATTCTCAGCATCACTGTGTCTGATGATGTAAGTGTTTCTGATTGGTTCTTTACAGCATTCCCATAAAATAAGCTGCTTCACAAGACCACTGAGTGCCTCCCTCTTCTCTCTCCAGGGGAAGATCCTGTTGGGGGAGAAGGGTATCCTTTTGAAAAGCACCAACATTGTAGCCTCCAATGGAATCATCCACATGATTGACGGCCTTCTGTATCCGCCCTCCATCCTTCCTATCCTGCCTCATCGCTGTGATGTCACTGAGAAGAAGATCACCGTGGTGAGCAGAGAGAGGCAGAATGTCAAACCAAACTCTAAATAGACAAACTTCCTCTTCTGTCTAATCTCTTCTCTCCCTGTATGTCCTAAAAAGAAGGTGAAAATGTCCCAAAAAAAAACAACAATACAAACAAGTTGTAACATTGGTTAAAAAGTTGCGGTATGATTGTAAATGAGGACATTTCTCCTCAAGTTGTCGAACACACTCTATGGAGATCGGTTTGTGTTTGACTAAACTTTACTGATGAAACTAAATTTCCTAGAACAGAAAAATTCATGCATGTTTCTTGCTCAGCAACTGAACACAATGAGGAAGCTTTAAAGGGCAAGTTGTGTAGTTTGTCTTACATTCATAGAAGAGTTGAGTGTGTAGTTGCAGACATTTACCTCATTCCCCTTAAATTATGTAATGAGCGCTGTCAGCTTCAACTAGTTAATTGGGATTAATTAAGGTCTAGGCTATTTTGTCCCTTTAGACTCACCGTAGATAGTCGTCCTCAGTGTCTCCCTGTAGTCTCGGTGGTGTAAAAGAAGGACACTGCTGCATCTTTGAATGTCTCATTTCACTTTAACAAACTCTCAGACAACTCAGCTGACGAGTCCAAAGTAATATCCACCTCATGACATCACACATTGACCTTTGTTACTGTTCCTTTGAGCTGTTTGACGTCAGTTTGGGATCAGTAACCACTTCCTGTTTCTGTGGTTAAGTTAATGTTGTTACCTTCGATCCAGCTGAAGGTCCTTACTTTATTTCAAAATAATAGCAGGGTTGAATTCAAATAGAAAGTAAAGTACTCTCAGCTTAAGACAGTACAAAATTTCAAAATAAAAGCCCAACAATTTATATTGTTAAATATAAAATAATGGAATTTGAAACATGCGATTAACTCTTGAAATTGAGCAATTACCGATTTATATTGATCAATAAGTGATAAAAAAAATGTACTAGTTTGACAGCCCTGACTGTAATAATTATCTATCGGACGAGGTTTGGGTCTTATTAATTAGTTACTTCCTCCAAGTGCAGTAGCAGTGAGAGCGTCAGTCATCATGGACATTCGATTTTAACCAACAACAACAACATATTCATGAAAGTTTCACTCTTCACACTTGCAGAACAAACAGCACATACAAACTGAAAACCAACCATAACGCTGACAGTAAAGGCAGTATTGGTAATCTGTGTGTTTTCAGGGTCTGTGTGTTCACTGCAGTTACCTCTTTGAGACTGAGTGTCCAGATGGCAGCACTGAAATGGTACATTTTACTATTATTATCATTATTATAATATTATAAAGTACAAAAAATAGAAAAGTAAGCCGACAAATGTTGTGTGTTTGTGTCTCCAGGACAGCCACCAGGTTGGCTGTGAATACTTGGTGGCTCCTTTCCGGCAGACACTCAGTAAAGGCTGCGCCAAATACTGCAATGCCACCAAACAGGTGAGCACTTGACCAGTGAGCACTGTGTCTGGAGATTTAATTTAAGCTTTATTCATCAACATTTTTTTATTCTCTTTTAACTGAAAATTGAAACATATATACCTGACACTTTGACATCTTCATAAATTATCAACCTGTCCCTTTTTTTAACGTGTAATGAAAAGAATTAAAGTAAAAGAAAAGAAACTCCTAACACTGATTACTGAGGTTAGGACTTAGGGAATAACCTCACTGACACTGAGCTGATGTTTATATCAGGTGGCAGAGTGCTGTAAAGGTTTCTACGGTCCAGACTGTAAACCCTGTATTGGAGGATTCCAGCATCCCTGCTATGACAAAGGAAAGGTGAGCCACAAACAACTTTGTCACTGCAGCATCTTTTTATTTAACCTATGTGTTTTTATTTATTTGATTACTTCAGTTTTTTTTTACAACGTGCAGTGCTTTGACGGTATCCAAGGTAACGGCTCATGCAGCTGTCAGCCAGGCTTTGAGGGTATCGCCTGTCACATCTGCTCAGATCCGGCAAAGTATGGAGACAAGTGTGACGAAGGTACCGGCTCCTCCTTCTTCACACTAGGAGAGCAACTTTATACCTGTTTTAAGCTTCAGCTGCATGTCACACATCCACACAAGATTAACACTATATATTAAATAACTCTCTTATTCACTCATAATCCCAAATTCTGAATCTCAAATAAATGTGGGACCTGCATTTGGATATGAATCAGGTAGGACATGTTAATGAGAGTTAATAATAATCATCATCTCTCAGTCCAATTGTATGAAGTGTAACTGGAAAATAATACCATTGTATAGTTTAAAGAGCCCATATTATGCCCTTTTTGGGGTTCGTATATTTAATCTATGTACCTACTTTTGTACGTTTACAATAGCTAAAGTTCGAAAAAAGTGTCTATTTTCATGTACTGCTCCTCCTTGCTCCCTCTCCGCTCTGAGTCCGTCAGCTTCATTCTGTTGAGCCCACACTGTTAGACCCCACGTGGGTCAAGTCTGCTCTGATTGGTCTGCCGATCCGCTCTGTCGTTATTGGTCAGTTGCTCAGCACGCGTCTCGGAAATTTCAACATGAGCTGCAGAGTTTGCCACAACGAGCCAATGTGCTTAGATCAGTGATCTCACACTGACAATGACGGCGCACTGACAAATTTTTATCGAGGGGGGCTAGAACCGAGCGTTACATGCGGCTAATGCTACAGCTAACAGGAGGACGTAGGAGGACTTTGAATTTTTGCACATAGATGTGCCTATACATGCACAGGACACTTGGAAAACACACTAAAGGGCATATAAAACCAGAAAAATCATAATATGGGACCTTTAAAGTGTGCCTTTTTGCTCGCTGCATCTTTAACGTTGAATATACTACTTGTTTATCAGTTTTCAAGCATTAGTCTGTTGTGTGAAGACGTGACAAAGTACAGATCTGTCTGATTGTATTTTGACTGAGAAAATGATACCTGACTGTGTGTCTGTGTCTTCAGATTGCCACTGCGTCCACGGTGTATGTGATAACCGTCCAGGTGGTGGTGGAGCGTGTCGGACAGGATCCTGTAAGGACGGATACTCTGGAGATTACTGTGACAGAACAGCCACACCCTGCAACTCTGACGGACTGCACGAACACTGTCACATCAATGCATACTGTACGCAGAAAGGACTCAATACTATGTAAGATACCACTGCATCTGCTATTATTATCATTTCTATTGTTAGCTGTATCTGATTTAATGTCCTAACAACAGCTAGCTTTAAAACATATTCATGAAACCGCCGACCTTGTGGGAAAAGAACGACTTCTTACTGCTGATCATGAGCAGATTTACCTGAATGTCTACGGAACAATACACTAACTAAACATCAAATCATATTCATACCCATGAGACTGCTGCAAGATGAGAGCTAACGTCATCCATCCTATCATAGTTTTCTATGATTTAAAGCCGTATTAAGTCAGAATCAGCAGGTGATAAGTCACTGATCTAATAAGCTGGGTACATTGATGCTTCCAAAGATAATCGTGCCAGATGTTCCTTCTATGTGAGGTGTGTTAAGAGTGATCTGATCTGCTTGGGAGAACGTCAGTGGATGCATCTATTTCAAATCTGAAATATGACTTAAGATCCGATCTCCTGTCATGTTGGGGAAAACGAGGGTCTGCCGAACACTTGCTCTGTGGATTGTCAGTGAAAAAAAGGTGGAAGAGTGGAAATCGAGCTGACTGAAGGAAACACAACAACGCAGCAAAAACATTTTCACTCATCTTCAGCTCGAGCAGTAACATGTTGTGTTTGACTACAAAACATTATACTCTATTTCTAGTTTTGATAGTCATGACTCAAGTTGTTAGCGGAAGAAACTGTTAGTGTGTGGTGTACTGTTTTGGTCATATTGTTGCTCTCCACACATTATAGAACAAAATGGTTGAATCTGTCATTCTTTGTCATCATGTGTGGGGTCTCTCACATTTTCAACATCTGTTAAAGGGGACATATTATGAAAACTTGTACAGTGTTTTTGAACATATATTTGGTAACCTGAGTGTCTACTGACCCACAAAATGTGAAATAAACCCATCCAGTCCTTTGTTTGTGGTCTGCATAAGTCTTACAACACAGAGAAAAATGCTCCGTTTCAAATGTGCTCTCCTTGTGATGTCACAATGGGATTCTGGTAAAAACAAATAACCTCCCCTTCCCTGGTATCTCCACCCATGGACTCCACCCCCAGCCTAGAGCAAAACTTTTGCGCAGGTCCGCCATTTTTTTCTTGCTACAGAGGAGTGATGTCTACCAGGAAAACTCGGGGGGGGGGGGATCATTGCATTTAAAGAGACACACACACCAAAACGGAGCGTTCTGAGAGAGCTGGTTTATACAGGGTCACAAACCTCCTCTGGTGCTTGATTCATGTCATATTTTGACCAAAGCACAGCACAGATGTTTCATTTAGACCACAGGGGACTGTTTGAAAAGGTGGAAAAGGGGGATAATATGTCCTCTTTCAGATATTAAAAGTCTTTTCGTGAGGTGTTTGCTAATCAGCTGCTGTTTTTATTAAACAACAAACTCTGTGTGTTTTACAGGTGTTTGTGTAAGGATGGGTATGATGGTGATGGTCACTCCTGTTCTCCCATCAACCCCTGCCTGAAGAGCGACCGAGGAGGCTGCGATACCAACGTAAGACCGACTTCTTCTGTGTGTAGAGCTTTGCTATGATGAAAAGGGATGTTGATTACCATGATAAAACTTGGATATATTCGCAAGATATGAATAGATCAAACATCTACCACACAGCAGATTAAGCAGCTAGTGAGCATTTTCTTTGCTTGCCAATGAAGTGAACCCTGAAATTAGAGCTGCATTTCCACAATCTCGATTCACACATACATTTGATCTCAATTCTAAGTGATGGCATGGAATCATTTCAGAAACGAGTGACAAGTTCGCTGATGTACTCAGCGTAAAACGTTACCTCCTTTTCAATAAAGGGAAGAGAAGAAGATCCATTCCATCTTTTTGAATTAAGTTTCTCAGGGAAAGGTTAAAGTTAAATACAAATATGGGGTGGGAAAAAGATTTAATCTCATCTCATCTCTGAGACAGTAAAACTACCTCGGCTTTTGCCAAAAAGAAAAATCATCGTCCTCCCACTTCTTCTGATCACTTTTTCAGTTCCTTGAACACAAAAATCTTTAAAAGCAGTAAACCAAAGAGATCCACCTTGTGAGGAAATGTAACTCTTTATTCATTTTAATTGATCGCTTCAGATTCATTAAATAGTTTGACTTACATTTGTTCTTAATTTCACTTTTTCTTATCCATTTTAAACCCTCTGAACATTTTGTTTGAACATAAACCAACATGTCAGTGTGTCCTCGTTAAGCTCTGATTACACAGATCTAACTGCAGCTATCATATTATAGTCTTCTGTCAGACTGTCTGACACCTGTCTCTCTCTTAATGTCTCTGTGCAGGCAGGGTGTGTGTATGTGGGTCCCGGTAACGCCTCGTGTGTGTGCGCCGAGGGCTGGACAGGGGATGGCAAAGTGTGTGGGGAGATAAATAATTGTCAACTGGAGAGTCGAGGAGGCTGCAGCCCAAACGCCAACTGTAATCACATCGGACCTGGACAGGTCAGTTTCAACAATGGGTAACAAGAAGCCGTAGCTCTGTAATTTTTATGGTAAATCTGAATTTGAAGTACTTCCCGTACTCGTCCGTCTCCGGACTGTTAATAATGTAGAAGAATGTAAAGCAGTGTTTGCCTTTCTTTCTGCAGAGTGAGTGTGTGTGTGGAGCAGGTTACATGGGGAACGGTATCGTGTGTGACCTCGTTAACCCCTGTTACAAGAACAACGGAGGCTGCCATGAATTGGTAAACACACACAAACACACACAGAATCACTCCCTCACACACACACACACACACACACACACACACACACACACACACACACACACACACACACACACACACACACACGCTCGTGTCAAATCTTTTTAGCCATGAATTTAGATTTGTTTTTAAATGATTAGGTGACAGGTTTGTCTCAATTTTTCCCATTCCGACTGAGGATCTTCTAAATAACGCTCTTTGGTGCTTGTCCAGTCTACTGTATAAAATCTCTTCTTCAATAATCCTGAAATGTTCCTCATCAGACTCAAACCTTTTAATCCTGAGGGAAATTATGTCTTCCTGGTTGCTCCAACATTACAGTGCACCAAACATGGTAACACAAGAGAGCATCAGGTGTAAGAGAAACAAAAGAAACATGAAGTGTTTTACAAGTATCAGTGGATAAGGGTTGAAGAAAATGTACCTAAAAAGGGCAAATACGGTCAAGTATCAGAGTAAGAGAAGTACGACAGAGGTATTGACAGTTCAGATACAGATCGTTATGCAAACTGCAAAGATTTAAGTTCTGATTCTATCATCATAATATTCTTTTTAATTTATGAAAACAGAAAATTGATGATTGTTTGTGCTTGCTGCACTCTCAGTTAGTAGATCGATACCCATGATCCCACTCTGCTGTACTCTGTCAGGCAAAATGTGAGAAGCAGGAGAACGCAACGCATACCTGTACCTGTCCTGATGGCTACGTTGGAGATGGAACCATCTGCTACGGATCATTAATGGACGTAAGTAATTGGGAAGTCCCTTTTACCAGTAAAAAAATGCATGTAATGAAACTGCTTCGTACTCTTTTCTGCTTGCGAGTATTTTATCTGGAATTAGTATACTAATTATTAGTATCTGGAAAATCGGTCTGGTAGCTGGAGAGGTGCCACTTCACTTCCTGAGCACTGCCGATGTGCCCTTGATCAAGGCACTGAACCCCCCCTATCAGTTCAGGAGTGCTCGCTGTGGGCAGCTCCCCTCACTCTGACATCTCTCCATTAGTGTATGTCCAAAGGATGATGTTCTGCATTGTTCTCTCCCCATGGGGAAAGGCCATTTTGTGTAAAAAGGCCATTTTTTAAAATGTCAGGGGCAGGCTGTCAGGAGTGCATGTGTGAAAGGGGCTTAAAATATGGACACCCAAAGAAAGTGTTTTTGGTCCATTACTAGGAAATATTCCCCAATACTTAATGTGATCTGACACTTGCTCTTTAATAACCACAGAGGGTATTCCTTATAGATTATACATGTGTGTGCTGTAGCTGAACTCATAAATAATGAGAGGGCGGATTAGTGCTGGGCAGTAAAAGCCATCCTTCACTGTTAGCTTAAAGGTAGAAAAACCTGACAACAACAGTGTTTGATTTCTTGCTGTTATCCGTTTACTCATGGTGTGTCTCTGTGTTTGTAGGAGCTGGACATGGCTATGAAGCTGTACAGTTTCAACCGACTGATTCAGGTGTGTAAGGACAAAACCTGTGCTCTACAGTTACACACTTGTTCAAATAAGTATTTCAAAACTTACTTGGGAGTTGTGTCTTTGTACTTGCTGCTTAGGTATAAATGTTATCATTTTTGAGAAGTAAGATGAAGGCTGTTAAGTCAATTATATTTACTTTGAAAGAAAGTCTGGATCCTTTAGTAATAATGTAAAAAAGAAATCCTTAACACTTAATACACTGATTTGATTTTGTGTGTGTGTGTGTGTGTGTGTGTGTGTGTGTGTTTTCAGAGATACATTCACAGCTCTGCGGACCTAAGTGGAAACCTGACAGTTTTAGCTCCGTCCAGAGAAGCTCTAAGAAACATGACTGCTGCTCAGGACTCGTTCTGGATAAACCGACACCACCTGCCTTACTTCCTGCGGTCAGTCACTTCTCACACACACACACACACACACACACACACACTTAAAAAAATTCAACTCAGTGGAACTTGAAGCCACAGCAATAATCTCTGTGAAAGTGGCTGTGAGGTTTTGTGTTTACTCAGAGGAGATTTTTTTTCTTCTCTTCCTGGTTTCAGGGCTCACTTCCTGAAGGGAATCTACTCTGTGGAAGATCTCGACAGACTGGTGGGCAGTAAGCTCCCCACCCTGAACCCCCCCACACACTGGGAGATCAGCAACAGAAGCGGGGTAAGAAAGGGGTGCTAGCTTTTAAAATCAGGGGAAAGCGGTTCAGATGTGCGAACTTCAATGGAAACGCAGCGACTTTCAAGTGAGGCGTGAAATTGTCCCACCAAAGCCAAAAGCACATTTTGCAGAAAGATATGCTAAATGTTGGAGACAGTGTGGACTTCAGTAAGCCAATCATTGATTCTATGTGAGTGTAAAAAAAGCTCTCTGGGTAGAGTTTCAACAAGTTGTATGATATCTTTGCTCTCAGTGATCTCTAATTCAAATGCTTTCCAAAAAAAAATAACCAAAGATTTCAAGAAAAATAAGAAGAGGTGCTAAACTTGTGACTGAATCCAAACGTCTGTGGATTTACACTCTACAGCTCTATTCAGTCTCACTGCCATATTTTCAGAAACAAATAAAAACATAGTTAACTCGTTAACTTGTTTTATTTCAGGTGATCCATATTGGAAACGCTTCCATCATCACACAAAACATGCCTGCAATCAACGGCTACATCCACATCATCAATATGGTGAGCGGCTGCTTCTTGAAAAAATGAAAACATTTGTAAGTTGTTGCTGTTTTTCTTTGCTCTACCTGAAATGGAACTAGTTTTTTCCTGACGATGTCGCTATGCAGGGTATAATCGTATTGTTGGAAGGCGTCCTCCTCTGAAGGCCATGAGCTTTAATTAAACCACCATATTTTTCCAGATCATTTAAAGTGATGGAGTGAACATAAATCCCTCCATCTTTGACCTCCACACACACCTTTATTTCCCAGGTTTGTAAGATCAGGAGGCTTCAGACGAGGGGGACCTAAATTAGTTAGAATAAAACGGCTGTGAATGTAAACTAAAAGATATATGAAAGCATATTGAGTCCTTTGGATTAATATAAAATGTTTTTAAAGTTTTGATTGATCTGTTTGGATGTGGTTAGGTTCTTGCTCCACCTGTCTCAGATCTCCCCCCAGAGCCCCCAACCCTGATGGAGTTCCTGAACACCACGTCCAACTTCACTCTGTTCAGACAGTACGCTCAGGTGAGATGTCTGTCTGTCTGAACAATAAACCACAACGCGTTTTTAGAGTGTGTTAAAGCCTGTTTGTGTTTTTTTTTCTTCCACAGATGTACAATCTGTCAATGGAGCTATTAGACAAGGAGTTCACCCTCCTGCTGCCAACAGATGATGCCATCAGGCAGCACCTCAGCAGGACTAACACCTCTGCTCTGGTAGGTCAAATGAATACACATTGGGATCCAGAGTCTGTTCTGAAGAGATCCGCTGCCAAGTGAAACACATTTAAATTACCGATGATATCAAAGATCCCTCAGGTGGTTTACAGTCAACAGAAGACCAGATTCTGGTGTCAGTTTGAAGCACACACTCACGGTTGTGGAGAGTTCAATGACTCTAATCTGATCATTACGTTCCCTCTCGTTGTTCCTCCTCTACTCTGATAATCCCGGTGCACATAGCGCTTCAGGAGCTGCATTGTAAACAAAGCTATCAATCACAGTGTCATATCCTGTTTTAAAGAACAAAGAACTTTATTTTTCTTCACATTTGGGGAGCTGTGCCCTAGCAGCCCCTGTCACTTCGACCTGACGTGATTAAAAACCCATCCCCATTCACTGTGTATTGAAAGCTGAGTGCACGCTGTGCTGGGAAAGACGGCGACACAGACCAGGCTGGCTGCATGACTTTTTTCACACCTTTTCTTCCTATGTGTTTTTATATCTCTCTTCCCAGGACTCTGATGTGTTCAAGTACCATGTGATCCTCAATGAGCTGATCTTACCTGACCACCTGGCCGATGGCACATTGAAAAGCACACTGCTGGGCAATGACTACCAGGTCCAGTTCCACATAAACGACAAAAACAAGGTGAGAACATCAAACGTTACCTGACCAACATCAAAACAGAACAATGAAGACTAGTGTATGAACCAGATAACTTTAAGTATTTTTAATTCATCTACTTCCTCCCAGGTAGCCAACAGATGAAATTACTCTATATGTAAATCAAACTTAAAAAAAATAGTCCTTTAAAGTCGACTTATAGACACTTTTAATTTTGTAACAAATATACCGGTACATACCTTTTGTCTGTTGATGTGGCTCGGAGCTGCTGTTGTTTTGACATTCTGACACTTTTATTGCCGTGGTTTCTCTCCTCTGATTCGAGCTGTTTACCTATATTTGATATTTAAAACATTTTGAATACTGTACCACCTTCAGCCTTTTAAGTGTTTTCATTACCTTAAAAATCCGGCGTATAAGACGCATATTTAATACCAGTTTTTTTCCTTTTAAAAGTTGGCTGCGTCGTATACACTGGTGCGACTAATATACCAGTTTATAATGCAGACACACATATTAGTATTTCCCACAGAATGACTGTATACCTGTGGCGGTTCCCATGGGTGAGGCTTGTGTACCGATTGTCAGAGTGGATTTACAGATTGTGTATTTTGTATACTCACAGTGTCGCCCCCTGGTGTCTCAGTGACTGCTGGCCTGAGTCACTGATAAGTGGCTTTGTCTTTTGCTGTGAATATATATTGGCATTTCAAAGTCGATAACCCAAATATGAGACAATCTATCCATCCATCCATTTTCTTCCGATTATTGGAGATCGGGTTGCAGTGGTAGCAGGCGCAGTGAGTCAACCCAGACCTCCCTCTCCCCAGCAACGTTTTCCAGCTCCTCCTGGGGGATTCTGAGGCGTTCCCAGGCTAGACGGGATATATAATCCCTCCAGCGAACTCTGGGTTGACACACGGTCTCCTCCCAATCCAATTATTTTTTTTCAGGCATGTTTCAAGGGTGAAAAAAACTGTCTTACATCAGGAACAATATGATCATTTATGCAAATAACAGTCAAAAAGTTGAACTAAGATCAGTGGCTGTCTGTTCAGAGAGTCATCAACCTTGAATGTAATGGTATGATTAAAAGCTGATAAAATGTAATAACATGTAAACCAACATTGTCTTCCTGTCCTGCAGACACTTGTAAACGATATTCCTCTTGACGGCGGACACATCAACACGCAGGATGGTGTCATCATAGTGGTCCCTCAGGTCCTTAAAGTCGTCCGCAACAGATGCAGCAAAGAGTTCATCCTTAAAGTCAATGTAAGAATGGAGGGAGTGATGGATAAAATGGCTGCTGGGTTGATAAATTAATTGACAGATTGATGAATTGAAGGAGGAACCAGTTATTTTATTCCATGTACAGTATGTGCAGCAGCATGAAAGACAAAATAATTTTGTAAAAAGATCTGAGGGTTTGGGGTTAATGAATCTTCACTCAGCCAATCACAGCACTGATCTCATGGCTCTGGAACAGCTGAGCCAATCACGGTGAAGCATTACCTCGAAGTTCAACAAATATCAAAACAGCTACAGAATGAACATCGAGCATGAATTCAATGATGATAGAAATCGAGGGATGTTTTCCCTGCTTTCACGCCATCTGTTCCGTTTCCTCTTCCTGTCTTTGTCTCCAGGGACGATGTGCAGACTGTGAAGGACTGCCTCGATGCATGTTCTCCTACAAACCAGTAAGAAAGCCTCCTCTTCTTGGAATGGACTTAATAACACTAACACTACTGAGCAACATTGTCCTCAGACATGACCTCTGAGTTCACACCTCAGAACTAAATTTGAACATGTACACATCAACTCTCATGTCCAACTAGCGGTGTTTTTGCCAGCCTCTTTTTTTCAATTGTTTTCAATGTGGAGATAGAGTTTGCAGCAGAAAGCGGACGCCTGGAGAAAAAGCACAGCTCCCAGCGTCTTCTTTCCAAGCGCTCTGCTTTTTTTGTGCAACAGCTCTGAGCGCTCAAGTTGAAAATCTTTTCCAAATGTATGATACTCCCCTTATCTTTGCCGCCTATGGAACGTGTCTTGTACCCACACCCTCTTTGCTACAGTAAAAAGCAGAGGAGCAGTGTCGGTCATACAGCGGCCGTTGTCGATAGACTGTTGTCATAGAGACAGGATGGACATGCAGCGCCTTTCTTCTCAGCGCACAAACGCTTCATTCAAGAGCTCCCGAGCGCACGTCCAGCACTTTTCTGCCTGGAAAAAACTCTTGGTGGACACGAGCCGTTATACACATGTTGATTGTGTTTCTTTTTGAGCAGATTAGAAATGAATGCCACAGTTGTATTTTTGAGCACTTTTGCAGCCACCAGCCCGTCTCAGTCAGTCAGCTCTCATCCTTGGTTTCTCTTTATGTAGATCAGAGAACAGTTTCCAGCCAACATGCGGTCCAACTGTAAATACAGGAAGCGAATTGGAACCCGGAGGAAGTCTGTGCCAGGCTGTGTCATCAAATGTTACAAGTCAACCTCGGTGTGTATACATCACTGCCAGTTTTACTCCTATCACTTCTACCAATACTACTCATAGCTTTGGTTTGGGTTGAGTATCGTATCATGACATATCACACAACTAAAGACAGTTATGTTTGCACCTGTATAATATTAGATCATATATAAATGCATGATTTGAATTCAGTTTTTTATTATGCAGTGGTTGTTTGGTCTAAATGGCAAAATGTTAAATAATCCAAATATAGTAAGCCCTTAGTAACACAGGTGAGAACAGTTCTGCAGTTTAAAAAAAGGGTTGTGAATCTTCCTTACCTTTTCTTTTCTTTGAAACCTGTAACTACAACGGCTTGATGACGATAATACTGATGGTCTGTCCTACAGGATCACTCTTGTTGCCCTGGTTACTATGGCCACGAGTGTTACAGATGCCCTGGAGACGTCGGCAGCTGGTGCTCCAACCACGGGACCTGTCTGGACGGTACCTTTGGCAGCGGGGAGTGCCGATGCTACGAGGGTTTCCATGGCACCGCCTGCGAGGACTGTGAGCCAGGACGATACGGAGTCAACTGCTCCTCCAGTGAGAAACACAAACACGCAAAAGACGCAAAACATGCAGCTGTTCAAACAAGTTTCATATAGCGTCCCTCTGCCGCAAGGAGGCGTTACTTGATAAGACAGGCACACACAAATGGACATCCTAAAAAAGCCTTCAGCTAAAGGTGCTGAATAAAAACCTGATGTTCGTGCTGACATATACACCAGAGTGTGCTTCTGTGTGTATTACAGAGTGCGCGTGTGCCCATGGGAAGTGTGAGGATGGTCTTGCAGGAAGTGGCAAGTGTTTGTGTTACAAGGGTTGGAAAGGAGCATCTTGCTCTTTTGGTAAGACACACAAACGCACAACACATGAAATTGTGACTGCAATCTATTATTTTATCATCACTTAAAATCTTTGTGTGTGTGTGTGTGTGTGTGTGTGTGTGTGTGTGTGTGTGTGTGTGTGTGTCTCAGAGATCAAGGACGATGCCTGTCAAGGAGTGTGTGACGAGAACGCCAAGTAAGTCCTCCCGCAGAGAGAACTCACAGAAAACAGTCGATCTTGCAGCACCAGCAAGTAGGATGAGATAATGTTATCAGGAAACCCAGTCTGATGATGTCGTCCCAGAAGTTTGAGTTTTGCAATAACTCTATGACACAAAGGACTCAGAGCTATCAGCAGGACAGATTCATTGTCGCTTTAAGTTGTCTAGACTGGATTGCTGCTAATAAAATGTTGACAGATGTCTGCTGCCCTCAGCTTGATGAGATACATGTGACATAAACATTGAACATGTTTTCTCTGCCCCAGCTGTATCACAGGACCAAAGGGTTCAGCTGCTGTGTGTTTGTGTATTGCTGGATATGAAGGCAATGGAACCCACTGCAAAGGTAAAAAGGCATACACACATTCACACACAAACATATACCCTCTACATATGTACAGAGATCCATTAATAGATTGTCTCTGGTTCTCTCAGAGCTGGATTTGTGCAGCAGGTCTAATGGAGCATGTTCTGAGAATGCAATCTGCACAAAGGTGTCAGCAGGTGAAAGGACCTGCACCT